AAGAATATTATTATTGTTGTCTGGTTATTATCAACAATAACTTAACATTTTCTTTTATTATTAAGATATATCTTCAAAAGAAAAAAAATGAGTCATTGTCAATAAATTTTTTTCTTAACCACAACCACAGCATTCATTTATTATGTTCTCTTTTCTTTAAACTTAACTTTCTTTTCTTAATAAAAACTATATTTCCAATAAAAAAAATGTTGAAATGGGTTTGTAAAACTCATAATTAACAATTATAATATTCAACATAGTTAACAAAGTATCCAAGAGATTAAGAATTTGATATGTAACGAGTATAAAAATTCTTTGTTAGGAGATATGACCTAATCACTTAGGTCTTGAGCGTGGCTAAATTCTGATTTGATTTTTTTGTTTTATAACATACAAACATGTTTATAATTACAATATTTGACGAACTATTTCAAAAATTAAAATTACGTAATTAAACATTTGAAGAATAAAAATGTAATTGAAAAATTATTTCTAAATCGTCTCAATTAATTATAAAATTTTAATTATTGTTTCCTTATACAATCAAAAATAATTTTACATTACACAAAATCTTATCCATTGGAGATAAAATTATTATAATTATTTAAATATTTCTTGTTCCGTCTATAAAGAGAGAGTTTCAATTTTATGTCTACTCTGATAACATCGTTAAGGTTAATTTTTATGTCTAAGATATTTGAAAGTAATGCGGGAGAGATTGATGAAAATGTCCTTACATTTTCAAGAGATGATTTTGATGATGATTCAAGACAACATCATGCAAGATGAATTAAGGACAAACTGAATTTATGACGTTGGTGACAATGTGAAACATTTCCCTACATGCCCAAGATATGTTTTTAAGCCCAAGATGATTCCTGAAAACTAGATAGAGTCTTAGAATACTAAATATGGATGTACAAGTTGATGAAGTAATATTATGCATAAGTCTTCAAAGCATAAGTGTGATAAAATTAATAACCTGATATTTTTCACTGTCATAATCAATTATGATACATCGAAATGGAAAAACGATTTTCTCTGTCATAATTGATTATACTCGGTAACATAATCAATTATGGAAATTCAAATTTGAAAAATATATCTGTTTTGAAGAATAAATATTTTTAAATATATCCCGATTTTTATTCACAAAAATATTATTGTCCAATGACCATTTTCTGATGTTATTTTTCTATTTAATTAAGTTTTAATGAAAAATCAAAAACACACAATTACGGAATTCAAAAATACAATTTACATTCAATCAGCTTTTAGAAAAGAATTCGAGCAAGACAACATAGATATTTTTGTACTTTCTCGAGAAAACTCTCTTCTCTATCGTCTTTCGTGCTTTCATTGTTAATCACACTTGTTCTTGGAGATTGACATTCTACGAGCTTCTATAATTTGTTGTCTCATGTTGAAAGTCTCACATCGCCTACCTCATGTCATTTTGTATGATTTAAATACATGTTAGGCTACTCCACATATTGTCAATTGATTTTATGTTGGAACCTTATCATGGTATCAGAGCCAAAGCCTAACATCTTTCCGGTTATTGTCATGGACCAAAAGTTGCCCTTTAGTTGGGTCAAAAAATACCCTTTGCCTGGTCCGACAGGCTTTGTTGGAGGAGGTGTGTTGAAAGTCCCACATCGCCTACCTCATGTCATTTTGGTATGATTTAAATAGATGTTAGGCTACTCCACATATTGCCAATTGGTTTTATGTTGGAACCTTAACATCTTCATTACCCAAGTGTGACTGTTCTTATTTTTATTACCTTCATCTTTTGTGTATTGGTGGCAAAGGAGGTATTTTCCATCTCTTGTGTGATTTTAGGGAGGTGTTCATCTTTAGTGAGATTCTAAGGAGGTGTTTTCATCATTTGATTTGTTAAAATGAGGTTTTCATCCCTAGTGTGATTCTAGGGAAGTGTTCGTCCTTAGTGAGATTCTAAGGAGATGTTTTTTTCATCCTTTGATTTGTTTAGAGGAGGTGTTCATCCCTAGTGGGATTCTAGAGAGGTGTTCTCCTTAGTGGGTTTCTAAGAAGGTGATTGTCTTTTTAATTAATTTACTTTTGACTGGTTCTTATGTTGAGTTGATTGTAATTTGTAAACTGAATTTGAAAGATAGTGAATTAGGAGTCACTCTTGTGTTAAGAGTTGACTGGAAAATGGATGTAGGGTTGGTTATACCCGAACCAGTATAAATCTTTGTGTGCTCTTCTCTTTCCCTTATCTCCTTCTCTTTTCCTGATTATATTATCGCTTCCGCTTTATCTATATTCAAACAAATTATTGACTCACAAATAAATTTTTAATTTGACATCTATTTTAATTTGTGCATCTATTCACCCCTCTATGTATGTCATTTGTCTAACAATATTATATGCTTTAGATGTTTTATCTCGTTACGATTTTGTTCATAAAGATATGAGTTAAGGGATGAGAATATATATAAATTACTTTAGTCTTGATATTAAAGCGAAGTGAAACTCATGAGCGTATCAAAACATAAACTTCCAATCTATGATTAAGTATGAGTAGAATGAAACTCTACCTTCGACACTATGATGAACGTCAAATATTCTTATCAGACTAATTAAATTAACAAGATGATATGAGTTTAAATTAAAGAGATTAGTAAATCAAATTTTGAACTACAATTTCAAGATGATTGAAAATATACGTTAAAAAAAACAGATATCTACCCATAAAAAATACTCTAATACTCAAGTTAGTTCTAGACAAATTTTCCTAACTAAATTTTTTACTACATCAAAAAAATAAAAATAACCTAACAATTAATAATTAGTATAAAATATTATATAAAAGATAATTAATAAAATAATATATAATAAAATAAATAAAAAAATAAATAAAAGTGATTTTAATAAATTTCTACCTGGATAAAACAAATACCCTCCCCGTAAGTTACTTCTTTGAGGGAAACATGGTGATGTTTAGATTTTCTTATAGTGAAAAAATGTTGGGTTTCTGATAAAAAAATTATTCTCTTATATTTCAGTCATAAATAACTGTTTTTTTAGTATCTGTACATTCATCCCTTTGTAATTAACTAAAATTATTATTATTATTATTAAATATCATTAAGATCAAATAACATTTGCATAATTTAAATTAAAAGACATTGCTTGAATATTTCAGGTGAGAAAGAGAATATTATACTTTTTAGGAAAAAATGCAAATGAACTAATAAAAGCCATGAATGAAACGAAAAAAATAAATTATACAATTTTTTTTATCATATAATTTAAAAATACAATATTTTAAATTTAATTTAAATATACTGACTAATATAATGTTTTTAACATTCACGTCTAATCATAAATAACAAAATTATTATTTGTAATAAAACTATTCATAATATTTTTTAACTAATTAAAAAATTAATAATTAATTAAAATTTAACATATATTTTTAAAGAATATTCAAGTGGGTCCGTTAAAAATTTACTGGATTAGAAATTAAAAATTAGAAATATTAATGGTTTAGAAATTAAGAATTAAAAGTCATTTTTATATATAAAAATATGATTCTAATATAATATTATTTTATTACAATATAATATAAAACAGAGAAAGTAAACCACGTAATCACCAAACGCCGTCACGTGCGACGGCAACCCTAAAGTACCCAACTCGCTGACGCAGCCATTCTAACGCCGTCAAAATAGACGGCGCCGCTCACTTCCTATTCTTCTTTCCTTTCTCTTCACTTTCTATTCTCTCTCCCTGCGAAACTCACTTTCTCTCTCTAAAAATTCTCCCTCTCTGGAAATTTCATTACAAAGAGATGCTTCTCTCCGCCCCTTAAAGGTAACTTTCTTCATATTCTCTTTCTATTCTGAACATCCATTATTATAAAATATAACGAGGTATTAATTTGTAATAATTTATAAGGATTAATGCATTAATCTTTGTTAATGTTATGCGAATTTGGTGGTTTTTGAGTTATGGTATTAATTTTTATTATTTAATTTGATTTATTTTAATTACATTTAATTAATGTAATATTGGTTGTTAGTGTTATGGGAATATGGTGTGTTTATAGTTTTGACTGTGAATTCCGGGTTTTCTGCATTGATTTCGGATCGTTCTGACTTTTTGAGTGTGTGAGAGTGAGTGTTGAGTTGTTTCTTTTCTATGTTTGGGTGTTTGATTAGATCATATAAAAAACTCTTTTTTTTTTTTTATTTGTGTTTATTGTTGTCTCTATTTGGCTCATCATGCTGTTTTGTGCTCTTAGAAGAGTTTTCTTTTAACGATGATATGAAGTCGGTAACCCCAATAGTAAGGTGAGACTGGAATGATTGTGTTTTATGGGTGTTGATAAAATGTGGTCTTACATAGTCACTTCTATGAAATGAGTACGCTAAATGAACTCATTCTATTGGTGTTCATTTCACTGTTTGAATTTGACTGTTTTTGTAGCTTTTTTACAAGTTGTAGGCGATTTGGTTTAAAATTTGGATGAAAGTTTTGGGACGAGTTTCTGTTTAATGATTTAGATGATAAAGTTTGCCGGGTTTATGCCGGAGTTTACATAGTGGACAACTAATCTATTTCAGAAAAAGGAGTTATGAGTTTTTTATTATCATTAAATGAACAATTGAGTGCTTTCTCTGCAGTTGATTGTCCTCAACCATTTTGGTTCATATCTTTTGTTACTGAGCTCTGTTTCAAAAAATAAATAAAAAATCATTAACTTATGTTCAAGTTTAATTTTTAGTGTGGTATTTGGATTTGGAACAATCATGTTTAACTGAAGCAAGGTTGAGGAATGATTGTGAATTCCTTTTTTTGTTATTTTCTGATTATGCGATCAACTGTCACATTATGGATCATTTCTATTGATTGATGGTATGACTTTTTCTTCTCTCATAGGGATAAGGCTGCGTTCACCAGGCTGATGAGGGTGCTATTGGTGGTTTTGTTGATGTAAGAAGCTGTATACTGTTGTCTATTTGAGAATGGGTGCTGTTTGTTGTGTTGCTGCCAAAGATAAAACATTACAAAGTGCATCACCCAGTGAAATGTTGCATCGGAATATTCGGTATTCTCCCACGTGGAACTTTAGGTGGGATCATCGAGGGCGTGTAGCTGGTGAAGATACTTCTGTAACTTGGTTTTCTAATGGTATTAGTGGGAATGACGGATTGGAGAATAAACATGAACCCTCATATGTATCGGAGGATGGAAGCCCATTGCAGAATTATCAAAGAAATAGATGGCAAAAATCCCCAGTCTCAGAAGAAACTGCTAGGAACGTGATAAATTCATCTTCAGGTAATTTTAATCAAATCAACTCCCTGGTTTGAATCATAATTCATACACAAACTCTAGTTGAAATTTTTAGAAATGGAGTTTTTTTGTTATTTCATTATCTTGCCATTCAGTTTTTGATGAGGTGAATAAGAAACCTATTAAATAGAATGTAACATATAATCACGCAACTCATGAGTCCACATGGAAGATGTAATATTATTCATTGATGTACATTATAGTTGGAAACATGGCCATGTATTCAGAATTCTCTATGTTTCTTTCACATAAGCTATCAGACACAATAAAATATTAAAAATTAGCACAAAATATGGTTAAAATTTTAATTCAACAAACAGAATAGATTTAGCTTTTTATACCACACTATCACCCTAGCAAGTCTGTAAGACTTAGATTAACCATTTCTGACACAATGGAACAGTTTGGAGAAGAAAGCTTCATACCATAAATCAATGTTTGTTACTCAACAGTTGTTATACACAAACCAAAAAATGGAAAATGAAGATGGTGAGTTGAAAAGCACCATTCATTTTATCTTGAAATGTAGGAATTATTTTTGGGTTACACACGGGGTGTTGGCTTATTACAGTTTCTCAGTTAGTAGAAGAAACATAAACTGAAACATGCTTGAGAATAATTTAGATTCATTAGTGTGACTTACGATACCAGTTTTTGAGAGTCTGTGTTGTAAATTAGATTGCCCTTTTTTCTTGTTTTCTCTTTTTTTTCAAGACAGGTGTTGCAGGTGACAGTTAGCAGAACAGCATAAAATGAAATATGAATGAGAGCAATTTATTTTCATGTGTTACAATTAAGTTTTCAGATTTTCTTAGACAGTTCATGTGGGATAGTCTCTTATTGTTGGGCAAAAGGAGGCGTTGCATATGACCAAGGAATAAAAGCATATACATATGGAAATAGATTATTGATTTCTTTTGATTGACTGTTGATGTTTGATAAAATGGCATATATGTTTGTGTCAATTGTGCACATGGTAGGTTAATAAATTTCTCCCTAGTTCATCAAAGTGCCATTTTTTGGAAATAAAAATTAAAATAAAAGTTTGTGGACTTATGTCTCTTCATGAGGGTAGGACTGTTAAGATAGAATTTTTGGGTTGCTCCACTTCTAAACAATATGTTGTATATGATTTTTAAAATTATCCATTGGTAATTTATTATCTGCTCAACTGGTTGATTTGTAGATCTGACATGTTTGTTTCTGTTTATCTCAGAACAAACGATTTCAAGGAATCTCTTAAAAAATGTGAGCATGGAACAGGTGAGGTTGTAATTATAAAGGAATCTGATGTTAATGTTTGTTTTTATCAGTAGTTTATAACTGATTTCTTAGATACACTTCTTACTTCTGCATTACTCTGTAGGGGAAGGGGTTGGCAGAATCATTAACAATGTCATGCCCGTATCCCACAAAACTTCTACATTCATTGCCTTCTACCTCTTCGTCAGTATTGCCTCAGCCATCCCAAAGTCACCCAGTTCCATCCAGCTCAACCCCATCAAGCTGGCCTTGCCTGTCGACAGGACTGCAACTATCACGGCAAGTTTCTGATAGCCAAATCTTGGGATTTAAGACACCTAGTAACACTTATGTATCTGAAGAGAGGCCAGTGTTTCCTTCGTGGAGCAATGAATATGCCATGCACTCCCATGGTGGGTCTTCAGGTAATTGTTCTAGGTCTGGCCTTTCTGAGCCGACAGGCAGTTCCCTCAAAGAAAGATGGTCATTTGATAGTGAGTCATTTGCTTTTAATTGTGAAAGGCTGGTTAGATCCAGTAGTCGGTTTTCGAATTCTCCAGTTGAGTTCCAGACATGTGGTGTTTGCTCAAAACTTTTGACTGAGAAGTCTTCTTGGGGCACCCAAAAGATAATCGAAAGTAATGACCTTTCTGTAGTTTCTGTCCTTATTTGTGGGCATGTTTATCATGCGGAATGCCTGGAGAGTTTGACAGCTGAAGTCAACAAGTATGATCCACCTTGCCCTGTTTGCACTTTTGGTGAGAAATATACTCTTAAGTTATCTGAAAAAGCTCTGAAAGCTGAAATGGATTTGAAGGCTAAAAATAAGAAATCAAGGAACCGAATTGTGGACAGTGATATTGATCATAATTCTGTTGTGCATGAACATTTTAGAGAAAAATGGCGTCAAACTAGTAAAGGTCCAGGAATTGATTCTAGTTCTTGTAGGAGAAGCTCTAATGGGAAACCTTTTCTGAGGAGACACTTTTCATTTGGCTCAAGGAGTTCCAAATCCATGCTAGATAATCAGTCGACCTGGAAGAAAGGCTTCTTTTGGGCAAAATCTAGCAGGGAATAAGCTGCTTTGGGGTTGTTGAGAGGTAAGTTCCATTTTCTTCATTATTTTTCTCTCTCCAGTTTATGATAGAATAAGAATCTTCCACTGTTCCCTGTTTCAATTGCAAGGTTATTTCCCATGTTTTCAAATCCAGATCAGACCTGCGAGTCTGGTTAGGTCATCACCAAGATACTGCATGTTCATAAACTGGTGAAAACAAATATGTTGGTGAACCAGTTGAACCATTTAAATTTAAACTGATTACCTGGTTGAACCACTTTCCCTCATTCAAGCTTTTACAATTGTTTTGGTTTTTAATTTAATTATGTTTGAAACTCAGACTTTCTCTTTTAATTTGCCAATGGAAGGAAAATATGATGTGCGTTTGCATAGGATGAGAAATTTTACCTCCTGTTTTTTTTTTAGTTTTTTGATGTGCGACTAGCATAGGTTTCATAAAGATGCCAAGACAGTATAATTAGTTTCATAGTTCTTGAATATGCTAAATCAATTTGGTTATGTTAGAAACATTTTTAAATTTTCTTTCCTGTGATTTTTTTATTTATATGAAAATATTTGTATAATTTTTCTGATTTTATTTACATGTATATTGCATATCTTCTATATATGTATGACAAAACCCAGGTTCAACCTAGTTCAAGCTTAAAATCTTGAACTTCTCTCTTCGCTTGTTATATTACCGGGTTTATTTTTTGAAAACATTGTCTGGCTTATACAGAATTTGACTTCCTAGTTCAAATGTTTGAAAATTTGTGCTTATAATAGCATGCAAGAAATTTTTCAGCAGTTATTTTGGACTTAATTTTTCGTTTATTTCTCTTTCAAGCAGATCCCGTTGTTGAACTTCTACACAAACAAAGATAAAATGACCGAAGAATCAAGCTTTGATATATGATCTGTATACACTAATACATGATTTCTCAAGGTTTAGAAGCTGGAATTACTCTGTAAAGAAGAAAGGTGAAATTGAAAAGATACATATAGGAAGACAAAGATAGTGTTTAGAAATCAATGGTTTTGCTATTTTGTACAGATTGATTAGTTTATTGCATATGGATATAATTCATTCATATATCCAAAAAATATTCTGTTGTCCCCTGTTCTACTGATATGTAATGCATTATAAATACCACAGGCCCTTGGGAGTTTCTGGTGTTGGGCTATGGTCTTCACAGAGTGTTAGGCAATACCAATTGGTTTGTATGTGACAAATTTGTTGTTAAATAGTGATATGTGAACAATTCATCACTTCAAACATTTTATCTAGTGTATTGTAGCTATACTTTCCTCTTCTCTCTTTTTATCTCTCTAATGTTCTGATTGGTTACTTGAAAATTGAGGAAAGAGATTGGAGACAACGATGATGAGTAAAGTATTTGTTGGCATTACTGACATAGAGGAGAGAATTGTAAAATAAGTGGGTCATGCTGCATCAAAGGCCACTAACTTGACATGAATCCGTTCTTTGTAAGCATTTTCCAATTTAGTTAGGATTATAATTTATGTAGCCATGTTTTTTCACTTCTAAAAAAAGTGATGTTTTTTCATTATTTTTCTTAGTGAAAAATCATTGTGAAGAACCTTATGTCAAATCAATGCTTTTGTTGTCAAACTGGTTTATGCTTTTGCCTCTATAGTGATGTTAAAAGCAAGATCAAAGGATCTACAAACATGGGTTGGTTGGACGCACCCGGTTTCATGGTGCGTGTTGACTCCACGTTGAATCACATCAACAAAAGTCTTCAAAATCCAAAAATACACGTACATTGATGCTACTCGTGACTTGCAAGACTTGCGTGCACGTTTCAATTAGGGTTTGTTCCTAATCTTGGTTAACTTCTATTAATTTGCATCATAAATCGTGACTTGACATCACTTAAAGAACGCATTTATTAATTAATATCTCCACGACCAATTATTGGGCGACAAAAAAGTCTTACACCAAGGTCATACGTTGCACCTTTTACGTTTTAGAATTTTTAAGTCTCCCTTTTTAGCTCTTGCCAAGATTCATTCATTACGAGACTTTAGCCATCACAACAAAGATCTTTTAAAAAATCAAAGTCCACACTAGTGAAGCTTGGATCTATAACTTTATGAAAATGATTCGAAATCTTCAATTTTAAACTAATTTTGATGACGTGGATATTTAATATATTTCACTTACCTGTTATTATCAGACAATTAACATAATAATCAGCACTAATATAATAATTCAAGTGGTTTAATGCCATTTTTTCAATGTAACTTTAAGTTATACATTGTTTTTGATATTTTAACACGAGTAGTTAATAAGAAATAATCTATAAGATAATTTTGTAATTATTTCAATTAAAATAATCGATAAACTTAAAAATAATAATAGTTATTTAATTAATCTATTTTATGAGTTAAATCAATAATTATGATAGAAACACTTAATTAAATGATGAATATTTTGTTTTTTTTATCTCTAAACAGTTTATGACAAATTGAATAATTTAATTGAAGTAATTGGATTAGAGTCTTCTCTCATCTTTGTTCTTTTACCAAATTTTGTTCCTTGTTGAATATTTACATATAACCTGACTGATCCTTCTTTATGTGAATCTTTTTTTAGAAATAGGTTTTTCCTAAAAAAAATTGTAGAAATAATTATACCAGTAGTATTCTGATAGGTATTATAACGAACAATGAAAATCGGTTTCTCCAAAACCGCCGTCATGGGTAGAATTGAAGAACATTTTAAAAGATAACTTTGAAAAAAAACATTATTAAATGAGCAAAAACATCATAAATAGCATCTCAGACACATGGCTTCAGATATTGTCTCACACAATTACATGTGGCAATAATTCTCTTTGTGCATGCTCTGAATAAAGCACGTGTAGGTGCATGCAAATCTCCAACACCGCCAAACAAGCTCTTATTAACAGTTAAAGAGGTGGAAGATACATGCAATTTAGTTTACGTGTGCATAGTGAAGTTTGAAGATGGCACAACAAGTGGAACTGCGAGATGAATATGGGAACCCAGTGGAACTCACAGATGCATATGGAAACCCTGTTTGGTTGACAGATGAGAGAGGGAACCCAGTGCACCTCACAGGTGTGGCAACCATTGCTAATCACACTCTCCAAACCCCTCAAGATATTCCTCTTCACTCCCACACTTCTTCAACCTCAATTTCTGTAAGTCTCTCTATATATATATATATATATATATATACTCAATTTTCATGTAGTTTTAGTAATTTTGTTTCATCTATATCTAGATTAGAGATCTGAAAATTTTCAGTCAGATTTTTAAAATGAAGTTTTGAATTTGAAATTATTTACATTATGCATACAAAACACAAATATTAAGAAGTGGCATAAGATGTGTATATATCTTACTTGATTTTGCTTCAATTATATAGTCTGAGGATAAAGGGCATGTAAGGAGGAAGAAGAAGAAGAAGGATAAAACAAAAGAGAAGTCTCCAAGAGAAAAAGAAGAAGGAGAGGAGAAGGAACATTCACATACCAAAACATCACCAAAAGAGAAATCTCCAAGAGAAAAAGGAGAAGGAGAAGAGGAAAAGGAGCATTCACTCACCAAATCTTGTACAGTTAGTGGTGGCAGTAATGATAACTCCCACCCAACAACAACCACAACCTCCACCACCACCACAATCACTAAGCCTCCTGAGAGAAAGGGCATAATAGAGATGATCAAAGAACGATTGCCAGGTCAGGGCAACCACTAAAGCTTCCTCATATATCCATCCACAAACGAGTAATTTGACAGTGATAATTCATCAACTTTTAAGCTTTACTTTGTTATGTATATGTATGTCATGGCATAGTTGGGTTCTGAGTGTTGAGATAAGCACATACATATTAATAAGAGAATTGTTATTCTCACAAACATCTTTTCCAATGACACAGTAAAAGAGGGAGAACTACGTAGTAACATGAATGATGTGATAGTAAAATGTGTTTAATTTGAATGTATTTCCAATGAAAAGAATGTTATAGTCAGAAACTACACAACATTGTTACTATTTTTTGGCATTTTAAAAGTAAATGATATGTCATCAATGTATATATTATTTTGTCTAGAAATATACAGAAAAAATAACTCACGAAAAATGTTACAAATTATTCTATCTTTACATAGAGAAAGTATATATTGTTGAAATAGTATTAATTAATTTATTGACAATTGATTGAGATCAATATTAATTTCGGTTACGTTAGATTTATTTTGTCTTAGACGTGATAAAAATCCAAAATTATTTTATTTGTCTTCTAACATATTTGTAGAACAATTGTTCTTTTCAAATTAAAAGTTTCGAATTTTTAAAATTTGTGTGAAATGAAAAATTATAGTAGTAGAACTTCATCGTATAGACTTAAACAAAAACATGCACCATTAAGTCGTTAAAACAATAACTTATATACTAGATGTATTATTTTGTATAAATAACAAAATGAAATAACTTTTTTGGTTCTCGAATTGAAATATTACAATGAAAAGGATGTGATAAATATGTATTATTAAAAGAAAATAACATAAAACAATTGGAATTGGAGGTAAGAGATAGAAAAAATGATGGTAGATAAAAAGATATTATGATATCACTATACAAGAAAAAATGTTTACAAACTAGTGAAATAAGGAGAAAGAAAAACATGAAGATTTTGGATATGTTAGAAAGTATATTTATTACTCTAGTTTTAGTTAATATTGTAGATATACTGTAAACTTTTATACATAGTCAATGAATTAAAAATAGCTTTAATATGACTTTTTTTTTTAAATTACAAAATATATAGAGTTATATATGCATTGTAATAATTTATCTCAAAATATTATTTTTTGTCGTCTATATGTTGTTCACAATTCTTTTGTAGAAAAATGCTTATTTTAGTAAGAAAAATGCTTATTCAAGTGATTTCAATGTTCAAAGATGGTAAAAAAATTTCACACAAGTTAGACTTTGTTATTCTATGTTTAGAAATGTTATACTAAAAACACTTTTCGTGGTATTCATTTTTCCATACATGGTTGACACGTTCTCTACGTGCAGTCACGTGAGAAAAATAAATAATAAATAAATAAAATTGCAATAATCTTATTATATAAAATAATTATACATGAATAATTATGATTAAAAGGTATAATTTATTTTAGAAAGTCATGAACTTATTTTTAATCTTAATTATCTAGATTTATTATATTTTCATTATTCATAATAACAGTATAATTTCATATTATATTAATTATATAGATTACGAAACTAACAAGTTTCATAGCAACTATTTTGTTTTAACAACTAGTAAGTTAATTAAACATTTATGGCCAAATTATATGAAATTTAATATAAAAATATAAAAAATAATGTCAAATGTCTAAGTCATATATTTGTGATTATATGATCTAATTTCATTCTCTCATCATATAAAAATGATTCTCGCATATATGAATCAGCTTGTTAAAGACAATCGTTATGATCATCATTGGAAAGAATTTTACATCATCCACTAATTAAACATTATCTCAGTCCTCATCATCATCAAACGTATAATATATTTAATGACAGTAATATAAACGTGTATGATGGTGTTGCTTGTTTTAAAGTGAGTTAAGGAAGTATAACCTTTCAAAATTAGTTAAAGATAATAAGCTTAATATTTATGTTTTTAACCCTGAAATTTAAAGAGAATCAAATATATTTATTTATATATTTATAATTTTCATGTTTTATCTCTTCATATTCGTTTAGCTTTTTATATTATTTTATTATTTATTAATAATATGATTTTTGTGCCAAAATATGATATTCCTCACTGGATATACCAAAAGGACAATAGAGAAGTGTAGTTATATTGGTGAAAATCTACAGCATTCAGAATGAGAGCATGCTCCAAAATTCAGAGCAATAATCCAAGGTGGCTTGAAGGAAGAGAATGGTGTGTTTGACCTGTTCAAACAAACAAACAAACAAACCAACAGTTTGGTGTGTTTTCTTTTGGGAAATGCTAAATAAAGGAAACAAAAACATGCAATGCACCAGAATTCAGCAAAGCACAATGCACCCTCCACATTCCATGGCTGATTATTGGGAGCACAAGGTCCTGCCCTAGCTGTCATCCTTTCATTTTTCCCTCCAAAGATTGAAGCTGTTAGAGAGAGAGAATCCCTTATAGGGATCCTAGAACACTCCATTTCAGGCTTCTTTGTTGTTACTACTCTACATTCTAAATTGAAAAGTCCTCATCCCCAACCCCAGGAGGTATGGGGAAGATAGAAAAAACAAAGAAGACCTTTATACAACCTTTTCTATCACCCTTCAAGTCATCTTTGATGGCTATCCTCCTGGTCATCATCATTCTCTTAGCCTTCCCCTCCCCCTCATTAGGCCTTCCTCCCTCAGCATCCTTCCAGCCAAGAGACAATTTCCTGATTGATTGTGGAGCAGACAAACAAGTCACCGTCCCTGATGGAAGAAAATTCAAAACAGACCCTCAAGCAAGTTCTTTCTTGCAAGCCAACGATGAGTACAAAATCAATGCTAATGCTGATGTCAAATTCTCTAATCCTATATACAAAACTGCAAGAATCTTCATCCAGGAAGCTAAGTACTCCTTCCATTTGGTCCAGCCAGGATTTCATTGGGTTCGCTTTCATTTCTATCCCATCAAGAACAACGTCTTTGATCTACAGAAGGCCACTTTCTCTGTCTTCACAGATACCTATGTGCTCCTCCACAGCTTCAATGTTAACAACACTGACAAGCCAATCCTCAAGGAGTTCCTCATCAATGCAACTGAGCCTCAATTCACGTTGGCCTTCATTCCCTTGAAGAACTCAGCTGCATTCATCAATGCCATTGAGGTTGTTTCAGCTCCTGATGAACTGATCTTTGACACTGCCACCAGCCTTTTCCCGGTTGGCGATTTCAGCGGTATCACGTCTTATGGCTTGCAGCCTGTTTTCAGGCTCAACAATGGAGGACCTCTCATCACCTCATCAAATGACACCCTTGGAAGGACATGGGAATCTGATGAGCCTTTCCTCAAAAACAAGAACTTGGCCAAGAGTGTCTCGGTGGCTCCCACTGCGGTTAAATTCCCCAAACACAATCCTGCAATCTCCTCTTTGACTGCACCACAAACTGTGTATGCTTCTGCCACTGAGATGGGTGATGCTGGTGTTAATCAGCCAAATTTCAATGTCTCATGGAAATTTGATGTGGACACTTCTTTTAGCTACCTCATTAGGCTGCACTTCTGTGACATTGTTAGCAAAGGGCTCAATCAACTCTACTTTAATGTGTATGTTAATGGGAAAATGGCAATCTCTAACTTTGATTTATCAGCCCTCACTGGTGCCCTGTCAACCCCATATTACAAAGACATTGTGGTGAATGCAACATTAATGTCTGAGGGACTATTAATTCAGGTTGGTCCAGCGAAAGGTGTTAGCGGAAGCGTAAATGCCATTATGAACGGTATAGAGGTCATGAAGATGAGCAACTCTGTGAATAGTTTGGATGGAGAATTTGGTGTTGACGGAAGAAGTGCTAGCGGTTCTAACCGCGGCACAGTGGCCGCTGTTGGATTTGCCATGATGTTTGGAGCCTTTGTTGGCCTCGGAGCTATGGTGATCAAGTGGCACAAGAGGCCTCAAGACTGGCAAAAGAGGAACAGCTTCTCTTCATGGTTGCTGCCTCTGCATGCTGGTGACACAAGCTTCATGAGCAGCAAGAACTCAATGGGAAAGAGCAACTTCTTCTCCTCATCAATGGGATTAGGCCGGTACTTCTCCTTAGCTGAACTTCAGGAAGCAACTAAGAACTTTGACTCAAAGAACATTATTGGTGTTGGTGGATTTGGCAATGTGTATTTGGGTGTGATTGATGAGGGGACTCAAGTGGCAGTCAAGAGAGGAAATCCTCAATCAGAGCAAGGCATCAATGAATTCCAGACTGAAATCCAAATGTTGTCCAAGCTCAGACACAGGCATTTGGTGTCCTTGATTGGATACTGTGATGAGAATGATGAGATGATCCTGGTTTATGAGTACATGCCTAATGGACACTTCAGAGACCATCTTTATGGAAAAAACTTGCCTCCCCTCTCATGGAAGCAAAGGCTAGAGATCTGCATTGGATCGGCTCGTGGTCTTCACTACCTTCACACAGGCACAGCTCAAGGCATCATTCACCGTGATGTCAAGACCACCAACATCTTGCTTGACGAGAACTTTACAGCCAAGGTTTCTGATTTTGGACTTTCCAAGGATGCACCAATGGGTCAGGGTCATGTTAGCACTGCAGTGAAGGGTAGCTTTGGTTATCTTGACCCTGAGTACTTCAGGAGGCAGCAACTGACAGAAAAGTCTGATGTGTACTCATTTGGGGTGGTTCTGCTTGAGGCACTGTGTGCAAGGCCAGCCATCAACCCTCAGTTGCCCCGTGAACAAGTAAACCTGGCCGATTGGGCGATGCAATGGAAGAGGAAGGGATTGCTTGACAAGATCATAGACCCTCACCTGGTTGGAAACATCAATCCTGAGTCTATGAAGAAGTTTGCTGAGGCTGCTGAGAAGTGTTTGGCTGATCACGGAGTGGACAGGCCTTCAATGGGAGATGTTTTGTGGAACTTGGAGTATGCTTTGCAGCTTCAAGAGGCCTTCACACAAGGAAAGGCTGAGGATGAGACAAAGTTATCTGCAGCAGTCCCTACTGCAGCTGTTCCTACTTCACCAACTATCCCACCAGCACCAACCACTCCTACTGGTGACCCTCCGGCGGCGGCCGCGGCGCCACGTCCAGAAGTGAATAATGCTACATCAGAAGGGCATTCAATTGATGACCATTCTGGAACTGCAATGTTTGCTCAGTTTAGCAATCTCAATGGCAGGTGAAAACCTAATTTGGCTTTTTCATGAATGGAACCACCACCTCGAATGGCACAACTTTGTTCATCTTTGGGGATGTTAGAGTAACCTTGTGAAGGTCTGGACCAAAAAAATTCCTGTATAATGGTTTGATACTGTGTGCTTCTCGTGTTGTATTGTGTGTGGGGTATTAATTTGCATGATAGCAAAAGAGAATCAAATATGTAATGTGATTAACTTGTTGGCTTGTTGTAAGTACGCATGGATTCCACAGTGTCATCAATCATGTATGGTATTATATAAATGAATATTGTTATGTAACTTATAGGGGAGGTGATTGTAGAAACATTCGAGTATGTTCAAAGAAACTCACTACTGGCAGGTAGTGAAGTTGACTTGAATTTATATGTAATGGACCAATATTGTAGCAAGAGTTAGTGTCCTTCTACAAAATTGCCCTCTTTTTTCTCATTTGGCCATCTGAGACTGTTAATTGCCAAGTGCCACTTGAAAGTTGCAAGAGAATGAAGAAATTTCATCACCTGGGATGTGTATGAACGAGATTGAACTCAATTTTAACAGAGCATTTAAAAGGTAAATTAGCACTTCCTGTCTTGCTTTCATAACTTTCATGTTAAGTGTAAACTATTCTTCCTTCATAACTTCCATATTAAGGGCAAGTAAAAACTAGAAATGCAGCTTGGTTTTCTTCTTGAAAGCATTCCTTACAATTTAGGAACATTTACAGATATCAAACCACTGCTAACACTCTTATTATACGAGTCACTTAAAACAAATAATTCTGAAAAGTGTCATCCCTTGAACCATTTTTCTATACCAAAAGATAAAACAAGTAAAAAGTAGCACAAAGACCGTATAGTTGAACCTGGTCATAAAAGCAGAATTATCTCCTTTTTCCGACCTTTAGATGATCCAAATGGAGATAAAATGTGCCTACTCCCCATCTCTTTCATATTTAATAGTTAACACATTTAGCTTCAACAAGATACTTCTCATTAGAAAATATTCCAATATTGAATTCGGTCAGGCTTAGATGCAACAAATGTCTGCAGTATTATGTTGCTATACTGTTTAAAACTGCTAAATGCAGCTCCTTGTTTCAAACTAATTGTGATAGTTGGTCCACTACTTTTTGACTCAAAATTGTTGTGTAAACTAATTGTCACTGTCAAAATTAGGGTATTATGAGACATAATCTCTTTGAAGAAAAGATATTTATTTTATCTAGCCTCACTTCTGAATTAATGAGCAGAACCAACAATTGTTCCACCAATCTTCATCCAAAGTCCATCACTTCTTTTTGGTTAGATTACTATCTTGCTCCACATACTTTCTTACAAATTGAATTGTTCATTATAGTTTAAATTTCACAAGAGTTTTATGTTATTACATTAATAATCTTAATGAGGTATGGAAGTTATATACAACTTTTTTATGCAAGATATCGAGAGCTTATACTTTTTAACTTTAATAAATTCTCTAAAAATAGCTTACAATTTATTATTTACATCAAAATAGTGCTTCTTCAATTAATATGCACAATTAATTTACCCAACCATAATGATCATGTAAAGAATGACAATATGGTAACTGCTCAACCTTCTAACATTTTGGTTACTTTGAAAGGGAAAAACATATTGGAAAAAAGCATTACACTATCATGCCGTTTTAAACTTTAAAATACATTCAGCGATAAAGAGAATAGAAAAAGACACACCATTTGATTGTTTCTACGGTGGAGTGGACCACCATAATTTTAGTAGATGGTTCGCGATGCATCATAATTTCTAACTATCGTATTCGTCACAGCCTCACTTCAAAATATTGCACCCTTTATACTATATTATGTTATTGTTACCTTAGTTCAACATTTAGATGAACATGTTTCATGTGTCACATACATTATTACACATGACCTCATATTTCCCTATATTTTTTGTATCAGACCAATTGTAATGAATCTTGGGCAAATGAGAATCATTAAGCCATGAAAGATTGCCATGTTAGGCCTTAAGAATTGAGGACAAAATCACCAGATAAATGATAAATCACATTTCCAATCTAGAATATAGTATACATGACAATAATTGAATAGGTTATCAGTTTTCAAAACTGTTGATCATCACTAATGTCATGTGTGAGAAAGTTACTTTATGAGGTCAATGATCCTCTCTGTCAGGCGTCAGCGAGAATAATACATGTTGCAGCTACTGAGAAAGCACAAGGGAGAAAAGCAGTATCTATGTCAAGCAAAAGACTAATAGCAACATTCCTAACAACTACTACGGCCAAAAGAATAGCCAAACCTCCCTATCGATACAAAATTAGGATGTAATATTTCATCTGATTTTAGTTCATGAATTGACTATGACAATTTTCTCTTTTTAAAGCTGTCTAAATCCCCATCAAGCATGACAAGATCATCTTCGTCATCAATTACTTCCAACTGTTTTTGATGCTTCGCTTCGGCATCCGCACATGAAATGTCAGTTTCTTCTGGAAGCTTTCGCTTCTTCAAGGTTGAAACGACGGTTATCTCATCATTCTTTTCAGATTCCACAGCTGTTACTAACGCATCTGAGGGGCTTGCACCATTGCCAACAGATTTGTCTTTATTTTCTGCTGCTGAAACTGGTTGAGTCCATCCTGAGAGAACCATTCCATCAGGTTCTTTCTCTTCATCAAACTCCTCTCTGAAAATCACCGAGGAAAAAAAAGTACTTTGAAACAAACAAAAAAGAGGGAAGGTTCGTAGAGATGTGAACAAAACTATTCTCACTGAACAAAAAACTAGATCAAGTAAAAACCTATGCTTGATATTAATATTGCAAACAAATTCCTGTTGCATATCCTCTACTGTAAGCATTGTTCCACCAGTTACCGGAGAAGGAAGCTCAGCCAGGACCTGAAAGTGATAGGAGAGAGGCTTATAAACAAAAAGTTACGTTTTTCCAACACCAAAAACAACAAACATACCTTTTCAAGGTTGGCCTCATAAATGGCAATCATGTCATCCTCAACATCACCAGCTTCATAAAGGAGGTTTGAAGCACACATAATAAGAGGAAGGTTCATCCCTAGTTTTGCCTTGACAATTTTTTCGACAAAGTCTTTCAACTTTGAGCGGTTGGTGTTTATTTCAAGCGATAAAGGTGTCTGTTTGGAACATATACGAATATATTGAGTGTGAGCATGTTCTTATCAATAATTTTGGGCAATAGATGTAACAAGGGGAGATTTGGCAAACCTCGGAACAAACATAACAAGACTTGTTAGGTTCAAATGGCTCCACTGGCATAAGCAGCATGTTTCTTGATGGATGTTCCAGACAATACGTCATTCTATGAGATGACCAGAAAAGATTAGACAAAACATTAAAAATAGTAAAGCTGACTTGTAAACTACAGAGTGGTACATTAATCAAGAATTACTTAGAGAAGCAATGAGCACCAAGGAAAGAACAGGAAGGATAAGACAACCTTCAAACAGAATCTACAATAAATAAAAGGTATAAGAAACAGAAAAATGAGATCAGGACAAAAACTCCCTTAAAGATCCATGCATTTTGCTCATATAAAGAAAGCACTCCTGTGCCCTCTTGTCATGATTATCCTGTGCCCTCGTAAGCCATGATTAAGGTCTTTTTTTGAACAAAAATGTTTTCCCAACTAAGAAAGCTATGTTTTATAAATTTATAGTAAACATATATTTTGGAAAATACAAAAACCTTAAAGAAAAAACTGTTACGCTTTTCTCAAACAAATATCAATAACTTCTGTGAAAAATATCACAAAATTAACTTTCTTTGAACCTTTAAACAAAAAGTTCCCAGCAAACTTCTACAATCATGATTTTTTTTCAGTAATTAACTGGTTTTAAGATTTAACAAATAATTATCAAGCACTCAGTAGCTCTACAATTAAACACCAGTAACATGATTATCCTACAAATTATGCTTTGTCAACAAAACTCGTCTCCAGCAAGTAGGTAGCATTTTCTCCCAAGGTAATCTTTGCTTGTAGTGACATTTCACAATGTTTCCTCAAACCCAAACATAGCCAGTTTCCCATCACTACAAAGAATCCAAAAGAAAGAATATGCAGGAAGCGGAATCACATCATACCTATAATTTTTAATGTCATTTTGCAGCACTTTGATTGCTTCAATGACAATCAACCCAGCAATAACAGCATTTGTAGTCGCAACTGCATGCACAATATTACCAGCAATACCTTTAGCTTCAAAAAGGCTGTGCAGAGGGATGCCAAAGGAAGCAGCCCGTATGTTTGCAGCTGAAGTAACAAATTCAACAGCCAACTGGTCATCTTTGTCAAATCCTAGATTGCCAATCTCCTGCTCAAAGATGAATTTAAAAAATAAAAACAGAACTTTGTATCCAGATATGAAGATCATATTAAAATACGGTAGATCAAAATAAGTATTGTGAAAGACCTTTTCCCTTTTTGTAAAAAATAATCGCAATGCTTCAAGAAATATTCTAGAATTTTCTCTGATACTCCAAATGTCCTGTGGGTTCTTCATGCCCAAAGATGCCATGGCAGATACTGATAATTCATCATCACATACATTATTTTTCTCCAAATTTCCATTTTGTTGAGCCAGTTCATCAGACAGAACATCCTTGCTGTATATAGGCTTTGGTCTATGACGATTTTTCCATGTTTCTTCATTAGACAAAGCTAATTCGATGTTATACCCAAATACATGATCGAAAATTTTCCTTCCATATTGATCAATGTCTTCATCTTTCCTACGTTCAAATACATCCTCTACATTTTCTGAGGAGCTAGCACCATCACTTGATCGAACATTCAAGTCATTTTCCTGATTTTTATCCCCAAATAACTTAGCAAAAAGTAGGTCCTTGGCCCACACAACACAGTGAACAAACTGCCATAAACAATAAGAGATAGAAGCTTAGAACTCATCAAACAGAAGTTGAAGCAAATATCAAGGTTTATACTTATTTGGATAACAGGAAAGGCAACAACTTGAGTGTATCAATTTTATCCATTTTCCTAAAATATAACTAATATGACAGGCTTAAATATAATGTTAAAAGGTATTCATCTAATAGCATCCTTCAAGATACAACTGTGCAACATAAAATATCCGATTCAATGAAAATCCAAATAATAGTGAACAACCTAAAATTTGTTTCAATTACGAGTACCCATAGTTTCCTATTTTCTATGTCCCAAGATACAAAGTATTAGATGCCTAGGAAAAGACATGACTATCTAAACACAATTAATATATGCATAGTAATATCACCTAAAATTTGAACAGTCATAAACTACATGTTTGGAGGCCTATAATTCAATATAACTTTAATGGACAATCTCACTAGTCCTTTATGCTTCTAACACTTTAATTTACTTCAGTACACGAATGAAAATGACAGCAAACCATACCTTTGATGGAGTACTGGTGATAGTACAAACAGGATATGTCTTGGGGGCTGGTTTAGGCTGACACTCATAGCACTCTGTTCTTCCCTTGACATGCACGGTTACCTACTCTCAATTAAAGCTAAATCATAAATTTGATGGAAAAACAGCAACTTTATATATTGCAGTAATTAACAACACAATCACATTAAAGAATGGAAAACTTTAAATAAACCTAATCGGAGAACATGAACAAAACTGAAAATCAGGGTGAAGGTTTTAGTGCATATTCTCCGGACAGATATTAAATATTTAGCTAATAGCTACATTTTGAAGCTTAAAAGCATGCCACATAAAACACTTTGCTTTCCCAATAAGAAATTTGCTTACTAGGAATACCAATGATAGTCACTGACAATAACCCATGTTCATAACTAGATATATATGGACAACCAGATAATCAATAATTAAAAAAAAAAAGATACAATTATATAAAAATAGCATTCAAACACAAAAAAGTACCATTCAAAATCTATTAAATACTGCTAAAAATACTTCCTACTTAAAATTGATATCACTTACATAGAAGCCAATAAATACAATTAAATTACCTGCCCAAGGAACCCAGTAGTTCCACTTTCAACCAAAGGAACATTAGCTGCCAGGCACAAGCGATTCACATGCCGGCGCGCATCTAGATTGTCAAGTCCATTTAGAACAACGTTAAACTGCTTAAAGAAGTCCACATTGAATTCCGGATCTTTGACATTTGCATGGTATGGTGTAATGTTTATGTGGGGCCTAAATTTTAACACAGCATCCCTAGCAACCTGATTGAACACTTCATCAGATGGGTGCACAACTGAAAATCTATACCATTAACAATAATAACCATAAAAGTTAAAACTTACTTTAGCTTTGGATTGCCCAACATGAGATTGTCGAAATAGAAATTGTCTGTTCAGGTTACTGACTTCTATGGTGTCCATGTCAATCTGCACGTTAGAAATAAATGAAGAATATTAATGTGTTAAAGCACATCCATAGCTTAACACCATACAGATAGATCAAGAGAGAATTTACATAAATGACTGGTGCGCATAGCTTAATGTGTTATAGTCACACAACGTTCAAGCACATCCTTAGCTTAAAACCATAAACATGATGCATCAATTCCAACAGGTAAAGAATCTAATTTATAATAATAAATAATAAAGTCATCAATCTCAGGTCACATCGCACACTGACAAACTCTGATGTGGGATGGTCACTATGTTAAGTATAATTATTTAGTAATTATTTGTTAGGCTTAAACATGTTTTTAATCCTTGCAAAACTAGCAGAGTTTTGATTTTGGTTCCTGTAAAATTTTTCTTTGCTTTTCATCCTTATAAAGTTTGAAATAATTTAGTTTAGTCCTTACAAAATGCGTGGAATGGTAAGGAATAAGGAGGAGAAATAACAAATTAACCAGGAAAAAAATCTAGACAATGTTGTTTTGGAGGTAAAAATAGTTTTTGGAGCCCATAGCATTGTAATGCCATTATAACATTATTGCAGCCGCAAAGGCTGTATTGATACTTTGCTATTTGAATCCCATAAGTAGGGCTGCTCCACTATTGACTAATATGATGATAAATATATACACATGTATAGATGCAATTATAAACATGAGACAATCCTTGATCAAAACATATATGGCACAAGGTCACAACACTCTCGCGATTCCATTCAGTAGCAACTATCTAGATACTCCTTCTGGGTACAACAGCTTTCAGCATTTAGCACATCCACCATTATCATTAACCTATCACCCTCAGCATTAAGTAGCTACACCATTTCCACCAAAAAACCCATTTTAAATAAAATTCAATTCTGGAAGATCTTATTAGCCATAACTATAATTACTAAAACTCAAGATTCCCAAATAAATACCTAGATCCACAACCACCCCACTAACCAACACCTTAAGTTCATCATCGCCAACATCAATCAGCAAACTAGCAATTCAAGTCAACAAACCGTAAGCTCCGCCACGGCAAGCCCAACAAGAAACACTCCATTCTCCCCTGAAAACAGTTCATACCAAAAAACCATAAAAACCACCCCCTGGCCCCAACTCTCAAAAACTCTCCCTCCTTCAACGAAGCAATGAAATTTCCAACGAGAACCAATCGACCACCAACCACACCAAAGGAACAAGGAATCAAACTACCAATCAACCCTCCCAAAACCAAAAACTAAACAAATCAATTTCCAGCACCATAATCCACCACCCCAAGACCTTAAGACGGTTATCGCAGCACAAACAACACTAACTCCTCGCTCTCACAGACACCTCCTTAATAAAACCAAGGCGCGACAATTTTGGAACACCCATCTCACGAAACACACGAAACTTGAAACTTTAACAAAAAGCCAACAGCACAAAACCCTAAACAAAAAACCCAAAAACTTAAATCCAAAAAAAAAACTGACAAACCCTTTTCTTAAAATAACCTCAAAGACCCAAATAGAGAAAAGAACTAACGATGTGAATGTCAGGGAAGCCGGAGAGAGCGAGAGTCTTGAGAAGCTCGCAGCCAATTCCACCAGCACCTACCATAAGCACTTTTGCATCCTGAAAACCCCAATACGACATAAGATGGAATAAAAAAGACGAGACACCCGTGTGAAAACGACAGAGAGAAAAGGGGTACCTTGACAGAGCAGGAAGAAAAAGGTGGAGAGGCCATTGGAAGTGAGAGTGTGGGGAGGAAGAAGAAAACGAAGCGAAAAAGAAAAAGAAGAAGAAACGTTGAAAAATCACATGAGAGAGAGGGAGGAGAAAAGAAATGCCAACAGGGTTTTAAAAATTGAAAAGGGGAAAGTGATGCCGGGAATCGAACCGTTGACGTGAGGGAAGTGGTAGAATCTAAAAGGGTCCTCAGGGAAAAAGCGCCAAACCCCAAAAATGAAGCCAAGTTGTGCAAAACAAAAGAGTATGTATAAAAGCATACACTATCGTGGAAATAAAACATAAGATAGCGCCGACACAAACGTTTTTGTTGTTTGTTAACAAGCCACAAAATTATTTTTATTTTTTTTCTTTTTCTTTTAAGAATGTTAGCAACAAACTTCCTGTTACACAAATAAGAAGAAAATGATGCAATTTCATATGTTTTATAAGGAAATTAATAGTTATCGTAATGTATTTATAATTTGTTATGCATGTCAAATTATGATTTTTTTTTAATAAAACAGTATATATTATAGTTATTTTTGTTTAGATTATTAGTAGATATTATACATTTTTTTTATAGAAAGTAAATCATACACAAATTTGCTAAATATTAAAAAATATATTTATTCTTTTGTCATCATTAAGTCAATTTTTATAATATTATTTTATATTTCGATTAAAAAAATGATATATATAATTTTCAATTCAGTTAATTATAAACTATATCAACATTTTATATTTTAATAGAGAATGGTTTAGAAGAGACTAATGCAATAGAAAAATAAAAATAAAATAAAATGGATGCATTATTTTATATATTTAAGTGTTGTCTTTTAATTAAAGTTGGAGGTGTATTTTGAAAATTAACATGGTTTTTTTAACTGGTTTAGTTTAAGTGAAGGGCGTATATACTATTGATTATAGAAAATAAGTGGAAGAAGAAAAAACACCAGAAAAAAATTGTACCTAAATTGGTGTAAAACTGGAACTATATTTTGTTTAATTTTAAATGAATTAAAGTATTGGTAAAAGCATTATTTTAACATATCCATGCTCATATTATAAATTGTTAAAAATAAAGAATCTTTAAAAATTATTATTAACCAACATTAATTTAAATAAGGAATAGTAATTTTGATTTTATATACACATTTTTTATTACAATTATACCTATATAGTATTTTTCGATTATAATCATAGTCCAAAAATAAATAAATAAACTTTCCTATAATTTAAAAACTAATAATTAATTTATTAATATATATATATAGAGAGAGAGAGAGAGAGAGATTGTTTTTTATCTTATTAATAATTAATTTATTAACAATAGAGATTTTTCTTCTATTTTTTATTACTTTATGGTAGAAGATGTTGGCAAAATTTGGTTCATATATATATATATGATATATAATTTAAATGTATTAGGGTCATTATTTATTAAGCAAAATAATAAAGTGATTTGATTAAATTAAAGTTTTGGCTAAAGACATATGTCATGAAAATAAAATTGTGTAGAGACCATTGAGCAAATTTTAATTTGATGAGGGGTCAAATTGGAAATACTAAAACTTAAGTAACTAACCTAATTTTGGTTATTTAAATGGTCATGGTCCCCTTCTGGGAGCACACACAGAACGTAAGTATCAATTCCGTTCCTTTCTTTCTATCCCCATCAAGAGAGAAAATCAAGAGGGAAATACAGGTGTTCTTCAGGTGGAAGACCATAAGATCAATGTAATGTTCTACAAAGACATCATCATTATGACTAATTCATGTACGTTTTCGCATTCAGTTTAAAGCATGTTTATGAGTATGGGATAATGTTTATGTTTGATAGTTAGAATCAAAATCAGGATTATTGTTATAATTATTAGTTTTCCAACAATTGGTATGAGAGCCGCTCATACTTGATTCATGTCTATCTTAGGAAATTTTTAAAAATTCAGATTCTGTTTAATTTATAAAATCTCAATTACTGTGAACCCTAAAATTTAAATTTGGGGGTAACATCCCCAATCTGATTCTGCTTGCTGATGAAACCATGGAGGAAGCTATGAATTCTTATTCTTCTTCGTTTTCCCCTTTTGTTTCAGTTTAAGTTTCAAGTTTTACTGATAAAGAAATAGTGTTTCAAATTTCAATCTTTCTTGTATTGGGTTCTCTGTTCTCTTTGAATCTTTTGTTTTTTTTTTTTTTTTTATGGGTTTTGTTTCGTTTTCTTTTCATGGTGGATATGGATGAGTTTGGAATTGGGGGTGGTGTTTGGGAAATTCCCAATATAAAGGATCTTAGGCAACTGGTGAATGTTTTCCACATGTGTGGCTATTATTATTTTATTGCCTTTATCCTTTAGGGATTTAAGGAAAAGTTGATGTTAAATTTCCTGTTTAGGGTTTGAGTGATTACTGTTTAATCCTCTTTTAGGGTTTAGAGCAGTGTGTTAAAGAGGGTCATAACTATCTCTGTTTCATCCCTAGTGTGATTTTAAGGAGATGTTCATCCTTTATGTATTGGTGGAAAAAAGAGGTGATTTTAATCCTTTGATTTGTTCAAAGGAGGTGTTCATCCCTAATGAGATTCTAGGGAGGTGTTCATCCTTAGTGGAATTCTAATGAGGTGATTATCTTTTGAATTAGTTTGCAAATATTAAATATTTGGTTTTGTTATATAAATAAAATATTCAATTTTTTTGTAGTTTAATATTTTTTGTGAGCAAATTGAGTCAAGAAGTCACCAAAGTAACCTCTCTTGAATTGGGCAGTTCATGAAAAAAATTGAATGTTAGTGTTTGTGTATATTCATGCGAGTATTAGTCGGCCCAAAGGAAGATTAATATTTGGCCAAATTGCATATACACTTGTAATGATAAACATGTGATAATTATAAGGATTTGTTTTATCGATGATAAATCAATCCAAAGACTAGTTTGTTGTTGGACGTGTTTTATTGTCAATGTTTGATTATTACAACAATATACCTCTCAGCAGTTAATATTATTGTCCAAAGACTTGATATTGATGGTGCATTAGGTGTCTTGAGATGGGTTAAATCATTATTTGAATATATATTTATAATTATTTATTTTTTATATAATGTGAGCATAATTAGTTTATTTCTCGTGTTCTAAATTCAATCTACAATTACTTTTGTATCCGCCAATTTAAATTTTGTTCCAATCCTTAAAAGTATGTTTCCTACTTTGGTCTGTTCTAAAGTCAATTTAACGTTAGTACCTAGTAACACTTGGTGATTAGACTCGAGTGCAACTACTAACATTAATGTTTCTATGAAATGTTGCATAAGCTACCGAAAGCCAATTGATTCTGAAAGATGGATATATGTTGGAGATGACAAATCAGTAGAGGTGGAAGCTATAGGACATTTTAAATTGTTATTGAGTATTGATTTTTATTTGGATTTGAAAGACATTTTTGTTGTGCTATCATTTAAACGAAATTTGGTTTCAGTTTCTTATTTGGACAAATTAGGTTATTTGTGTTCATTTGGAAACAATAAGTTCAATTTGTCTTTTAATTCAGATACTATTGGAACTGGTTCACTTTTGCCTTATGATAATCTGTATTTACTTGATAATGTGACCACTTATAATGAAACCCTTAATACAGAATCACGGGGTACTAAACGTAAAATTGAAAATACTCACTCAGGTGCATTATGATACAAGTGCTCAGGTCACAATCGAATCGTGACACTTGAGTTTGTATTACACTCTTAAAGATATGATAAAGAGTATGATTTGTCATTCCACCTTACCAGAGTCATTATGGGGAGAGGCACTAAAGACGACAGCTTATATTCTAAACAGAGTATCAACTAAATCAACTACCAAAACACCTTATGAGCTTTGGACTGGGCGACAGCCTAGTCTGAAGCATTTTCATGTGTGGGGATGTCCAGCTGAGGCAAGGCCTTATAAGCCAAATGAAAAGAAATTGGACTCCCGAACAGTAAGTAGTTATTTTATTGGTTATGCTGAAAGATCCAGGGGATATAAATTTTATGATCTCACATTAAAGACAATTTTTGAGACAGGAACTGCTACGTTCTTTGAAGATATTGAGTTTGAGGGGAAGAATAAGATTAAGAACTTTATCTCGGAGGAAGAATCGGTAACAATTTGAGAACCGATTCAAATAGTTACTTTTGATAAAGTAAGTTCGAAACCTCCACAAGGCATTTATGATGAACCCCTTACTTAAGATGATTTGGTTGTTCATGAATAACAAACTCAAAATCCTCAAGAACCTGTGCATCATGAGCCAATAACTTTCTGGAGATCCACTAGAGAAAGAAGAAGTGCTATTTCGGATGATTACATGATATTTCTTCAGGAACATGAGGAAAGCAATGATATAATGGAAGATGACCCAATTAACTTCTGTCAAGTTATGCAAGGTTCTAACTCTCAAAAGTGGATTAAAGCAATGAAGGAGGAGTATAAGTCCATGCAAGACAATAAGGTTTGGGAACTTGTCCCATTACCAGAAGGTATGAAACTCATTGGTTGCAAGTGGATGTTTAAGACCAAACGGGATTCTAAAGGTAATGTGGAAAGGTATAAGGCTTGTCTGGTAGCTAAGAGCTATATCATAAAGGAAGGGATTGACTTTAAAGTCTCTTTCTCTCCAGTTTCATCGAAAGACTCTTTTAGGACAATCATGACTCCTGTAGCACATTATGATTTGGAGCTTCATCAAATGGATGTCAAGACGACGTTTCTCAATGACAACATTATTGAGACGATTTATATGGTACAACCTGAAAATTTTGTGTAGGAAGATTCAAATAATATGTTTTGCAAACTGATAAAATCCATTTATAGACTAAAACAAGCATCTTGTCAATGGTACTACAAATTTCATCAAGTAGATGAATATTGGTGATGATTGTGTGTATCACAAGTTTAAAGGGGAACAAGTTTAGTCTCAATCAGTACCCAAAGGGGAATTTTGAAATTGAGAAAATGCAAAAGATTCCCTATGCATCAATCATAGGGAGTTTGATCTATGTCCAAGTATGTACGCATCCAGACATAGCATACATAGTTGGAGTTCTAGGCATATATTTTAACAATCCAGGAATAAACCATTGGAAAGCAGCAAAAAGGGTCATAAGATATTTAAAGAGAACAAAAGATTATATGCTCACATACAAGAGAGGTCAGACCAGTTGGAGATCGCTGGGTTTTCTGACTTAGATTTTGCAGGATGTCAAGAATTTGTAGCATGCTATGAGGTATCAAATCATAGAATATGGCTGAGAAATTTTGTCACAGGGCTGCAAATTGTGAAAGGCATTGAAAGACCACTTAAGTTATATTGTGACAACAAATCAGCTATATTATTAAGGAAAGAGTACAAAGTGGACAAATTTTCATAGAACACTTAAGGACAAACTCCATGATAGCAGATCCTCTAACTAAAGGACTTCCGCCCAAGGTCTTTCATGAACATGTTGCTCACATGGGTATTTTACAGTTTGAGGAATTTGTGGTTTAGTGGAAGTTAGTCACTTTCATATATTTTATGTTCTATGTTTAATTTCATATATGTATACATTGATTTTTGGACATATTTGGTTATCTATAGATATGCAGTTTTTTCGTTCATTCATTACACTTTGTACATTAAGGATATTATATCGATCTCGATAAGTTAAAGTTTGGACCAGTTGAAAATAGATGTGTACAAATCACCTTCACGTAATTTTTCATTCTACACATTTCATGATGAATCCATGTCATTTGGTTATGTTAGGATGAGTAATCATTATTGGTTTTAGTTGCGATGATGCAATAAAAAGCTTGTTTGATTCTATATCCTGATATGATCAATGGACAGGACTTCTGGAATATGCTAAAAGAATATAATGACAATTTTGAGCTCATAAAGTCTAACACATTTGTAAGGTTGCAAGGACATATATATTTGTGACTAGTGGGAGATTGTTGGCAAAATTTGGGTCATGTATATATATGATACATAATTTAAATGTGTTAGGGTCATTATTTATTAAACCAAATAATAAAGTGATCTGACTAAATTAAAGTTTTGGCTAAAGGTATATATCATGAAAATAAAATTGTGTAGAGACCATTGAACAATTTTTAATTTGATGATGGGCCAAATTGGAAATACTAAAACTTAAGTAATTAACCTAATTTTGGTTATTTAAAGGGTCATGATCCCCTTTTGGAAGCACACACATAACGTAAGTATCAGTCTCGTTCCTTTCTTTCTATCGTCATTAAGAGAGAAAATCAAGAGGGAAATACAGGTGCTCTTTAGGTGGAAGACCATAAGATCAATATAGTGCTCTACAAAGATATCATTGTTATGACTATTTCAGGTACGCTTTTGTATTCAGTTTACAACATATTTATGAGTATGAGATAATGTTTATGTTTGATAGTTAGAATCAAAATCAGAATTATTATTATAATTATTAGTTTTCCAACTGAAAACAATTAGGAAAACTATGATATGTTTTTTCTGAAGTATCATTGTGTCTCCAATATGAACAGGGGGTTGGTTTGTTATAACGAGGAGTGGTTGTGATAGAAAAGACAAAAAAGCTGTATGACCTATCAAAGAGAGAAAATGAATTTAAATGGTTGTTTTATTTTATTTTATTTTTTAGTTTTTAAAATAATTATAGATAATAATATTGAAAAAATTATAAATTTCATAAAGAGAAAAAATATATATTTTTTAAATAATTTTAATCCCAAAAATATTTCTCATGTAAACCTATTGTAAAATATATAGGTTATACTAGTTTGCCATTCAATTTCCTAAAATCAAATATTATTTTTATTAATAAAATAATTATTATTTTGTAAACAAGTTAGTCCACATTAAACTCTTTTAAATTAAAGATTAAATAAGATAAATTTAAATTAACTTGAATTATTTTATAATATAATATTTTCATTTAATCTAATTTTTTTATCAATCTATTCTAATAAATAATTTACATAAATAATATTTTTGTAATAATATTTACAAAAATAATTTATTTTACTGTTTATGTTTAAAATTCAATTATAAAGACTAAATTTTCGTAAACATTTTTCACAGTTGGTACTAGAAATCATAGAAATTTAATTCGCAACAAGGTCTGATTTTTAAATTATTATTTTTTATTTATTTATTTTTCTCTTTCCTTCTTTCTTGATTTTTTTTTTTTATGTTTTATACAGGTAAATTATAAGTTGGGTCTAAAAAAATAAAGAAAATGAGTAAAAAAGAATTTAGGAAAAATGCATGTTATTCGTACTCAACAAAATTAAGATGCTCACGTATAATAAAGGAATCTTTTGAAAATGAAATATAAAATAAAATAAAATAAAAAGAAGTTATTTAAAATAAGAATAAAATAAAAATTCAGCAAGAGAAAGTCTTTTGGAGTGAGAGGAGAAAGAAAAAGAAAAAGAGAAAACAAAACTATAAAATAAGAAAAAAAAGTTAAAAAAAAAAGAGAAAAGAGATTTTTTAAATATAAAATATCATATTAAAAAAAACATTTTTAAAATAAAATTTTAGTTTATTCTTCTAGTGCTAAAAAATCACCTCTGTAATAATTAAAGTTTATATAAATAATAAAGAAGTATATTCTAATTAACTAGATAAAATAAGAATAAATATATTTTTGTTTTTTTAATATTTTTAATGTAAATCATTCTTATTTTAAGTATAATAGTACTAATTATTTTTTTTAAAGAAAAATAAATTTGTATTACAAGAATATAATTATTTCATTATTATAAGTTACTTTTTTATATGTTAAATTAATTATTAATAATAATTATATTATTATTATTATTATTATCCAGGTTTTATGTTATGTTTATAATAAGTACAATTAATATTTATTATTTATAAAATAAAAAAATACATGTTAACATAACAGTATTTAAAAATAAAAACAAACACTCAATTTTAAATAGTATTATAATATGTATACGGGCACATTTGTTAGTGTACATATCTATTACCTTTATACTTTTATATATTATTAAAACTATTATTATTATAATAAGAAAAAAACTTATTGTAAAAACATCACCAATATTGTTTTTAGACAACATCCACAATTTTAATTATATATAATAACTTCTTAAATATTGAAAAATTATTAACAAGTAAACATTACAAAAAAGGCAAATATTAAAATATATAAAATTATTTTATAAGATGTATAATTGATACATATAATATGTAATAGATAGATTTTTATATTTACATAACAAATATTTAAAATGGATAACTTGAGTTAACTCTTAACAAAATTTAATGTAACACTTTTAAGCTGACTAGCCCTTAAATGAAAGTGACTGATCCCTATCAAAATAGATTTTTGTTCTTATATTTATTCATGAAATTGAGTTTGATTATTTGATATCTTAATTTCTAAAAATACAAACAACTACAAAAACCTTATTATAATAAATTATTATTAAGTTTTGTAAATATTTAAAAAATAAATAAAGTTCAATGTTGTGCTCAATAATCTTATTGATGATAAAAGAATGTCTTATTTTAAATATTAAAAATGTTTATGAAAATACTCTTTTACACACTCTTGCTCTCGCACACACAGAGGGACTCACCAAATTATTCACTCAATCTGTAATTTTCTCTGTCCAATCTCAAACTAAACTCTCTGAAACCCTTCTTCATCTTCATCGCAGGGTTTTTTTTTTTTGTTTTTTATTTATTTATAGTTTCATTCACTTAGCTGATGGAGTCCTCGGTTGATGTTGAATCAACTGCAAAACGACCCCGACCAAGTGGTATATTAATAGTTTCTTTCTCAATCTTTTATTTTTATTTAAAAGTTGATATTAATGATGATCCGGGTACACTCTTTGCATTTTCAGAATATATTTTCCTTTTTCACTGTTTATTTAATAGTTTCTTGTTGATTATTTGCATGTTGCAGGTCAAATTTTTTGTCCATTAACTTTTAATTAGCAGTAGTCAATCTGTTTTCTTTAATTTAGGACGTCTCTGGTTTCTGGTGTGTGTTGCCATTGTGTAGATGATGTCCCGTAACTTTGGGGTTTGTATTTGTAGTTCTCTCTAGACGATAAAGTGTTGCATTTGCAAATTTTCCTGGTGATGGCAGAGAGATATGTGTCAGTCGGTCATGGACATTCATTCATGGATTGACATGGAAGTCGTGATGATAGCTTGGAAAACCAATGTGATGATGTTTGAGTCAAGTCTTTGTGAAATGGGGGGAGGGGGTGTTGGTGTTTGTTGAGAAGTGAAGTAGTGAACAAACTTAGTTATCCATCGTTCCAGCGGGGTTGAGAATTTCTGTTATGAAGTGGTTGGTGGACAACATTTGGCTTGGGCCATTAAGTGTCCACATATCTTTCCTGCTAAAAACATGTAAAATGGTGACTCCAAACATTTCATTTATTTTTTGAATTCACTAGGTTTGATTTGATTAGTTGCTGGCTGGAGTTGAAACTGCATTGTACTTGTCTAGTATAGTATCACACTTGAGTCCAGTGGAAGTATACAAGCCTTGAGAGTATTTTCTTTTGCTATTGTAATTGTATTATGTTTCCCAAATCCCCATGATGCATGCACTTAGTGGATTGGATAGTTTGTTTCATCCAGTAATAGTTTCATATTCTAAAACCAGGCATTTCTCCTGCCCTCGATGGAGACAAAAGACTTGAAATTTCAAGTGGCAGCCTTCCAGACCCAACACATGATAAGACTTCATATGTTGTTGATTACAACAATCCATTCGCAATATCTGATGTTCTGGATAGTTTAGAGCGTGGAAGATTTGGAAGTGTCACAAAGGACATAGAGGACCTTATAGCCCAAAAAATGCAAATATTGGGCCCTTACTTTGTTAAATATCCCATACTAGTGGATCAATGGGTGAAAGTTGTCATGAAACACAAGGAAGGAATGGTAAATCAACAAGTTACTGTTTTGACCCACGAAAATGTCATAGATCTGAAGGGGGAACACACTGGAAAGGATGTCCCTGAATCACAAGATCACGTTGTGATTATTGATTCAGATGAAGAAGACAATACAGATAAAAAATCTATTATCCCATTTCATGAAGTTGTGTTGCCGAGACTAATTGCACCATCTCCTGCATTGAAGATGATTGTAAGATCTTACTTTTTCCTTGTTTTAGTAATTATTTAAATATATAAACAATGAAGTGAGGGATAATAATGTGCATGAGCTTTTATTTGGAATGATTGACAGAATTGTAGCATCTATTGGAACATTTTGTGGCAGAAGATTCTTGTAAAATTATCATTGACTCTTGAATTGGTTTTCTTGAATTTTGTTTCCGTAAAAGATACATTTCTTTAAGTCATGTGGACATTTTACATATCCATCATTCTTATATGATCCATTCCATATGTTTTAACTTTTTGGCATTTTAAGTTGCGTTTCTACTAGTTGTTGCTGAAGTTTTCTCCATTGATCCATTTACATTTTATATCCTTTTTCGCAAATCTATTTATAATTATAGCTAGTTGATTACTATTTGTTTTGCATTCTCAAAGTTACCTTGTTTTCTTGAAGCATATTAGTGTTCCTTTTTTGTTCGAAGGCTCCGATGAATTAATACATTAACAATAATTATTGTATGGAAGACTTTGAGTAAAGTTTTGAAGCACAGTCCTCCTAAAACATAAGAAATTAATCATAGTACATTGTCTAAGATTTAGGGAAAAGTAACTTTTTTGCCCTGTAGTAGTTTTGTAATCATTCGATGTCTTGCGAAATTTGAATATTCTTATTTTCCTGTATTTTGGTCATTCGCTGTATTCTTGGTAGTAGGAAATAGGTTGTTTTGATATATGAGCTTTTCCATTTATTTCTCAGGTCATATTCTGTAAATTGTTCTCATTTGAATCGCTACATTTGCTTTTAGATACCTTTCTGTGCATGTTTTTCTGTATTTGTATTCAAATGTTTTCGGAAAGATGATTCTCACCAAGTGGGATAAGGCTTTTGTTGGTTGTTTGTTTCCATGAGAAGTTTCTGGGTGTTTCTTCCTTTCTTGTTCTTCATTTTAATGCAAGTTATTTCACTGACATACCTTACTAATCTAATGCAACAATGCATTTTAGGGGTATCAACCTCCCATTAACCTGGGAGAAAGAGATCTAAAAATTGAGACAAGTATGGCTGGTAAACATAACAACACTTGGAACGATAAAGGTGTTTATATTGGTGTACAGGAACGGGAAGAAGATGAGGTTGATACTGAAGATGATGGTCTAGAAGATATTTGGAAGGAAATGTCAATGGCAATAGAATGTTCAAAAGTATTGTACTTCAATTTTTTCTTTCAATAATAATAATTGTTTCTGCCAATTAGTTTATCATCCATTCACTTGGATGACTTTTTGTGTAATTTAATATGTAATGCTTCCCTGATATCTACATGTTAGTTTGAGGGACTCCGAGGCATCACAATTTTTCTTATAGCATAGTTGCATAGTTGGGTGGGTCTGTTATTTTTCAAAGTTTCTTTTTTGGTTGGGTTTGTTACATGTCAACTACATTACTCATTGGTTTATTTAGACAATTGTAGTTGGGTTTGAACATGTAGGTTATTATTATTATTTGTAGATGTACACTGAAATTGTTCTTCACAGTTGTCAGCCGAATTTAGATAAGTTGTTTATGTGTATTGCATATTCTAGTTGTACAGTTGTTCACTAAATGCATATTGAATGTGATTTTATGTGTAGTGTGTTATGGCATACAATAATCCTTATTGGCCTTGATTATTTTACTCAATCACTTAACCTTTGTATGTTATATCTGTTGTTTGCATATAACATATAAAGCTCCCATCACATGCTTTTCTTTTATGGTCCAGAAATTTTACTTCCACACACGTCATACTTATTTAGTTTTATATACATTATTTCTTACCTTGAATTATACCCATAAATTGCATTTTTTAACCGATCCTTTGGCATTGGTTTAGTTTAATTGTATCTACACTAGGATGTTTCAGTGAATCCTCAGCTGGATGAAGAAGAAGAAGAAGATGATGACGATTGTGATCATTCTTTTGTCTTAAAAGACGATCTTGGTTATGTTTGTCGTGTTTGTGGGGTTATTGAACGGGGAATTGAAACCATATTTGAGTTTCAGTACAAGGTTAGACTCTAGTTCCTGCATTCATGCCTTTTTGTTTATAAATCATGATTAAAAAAATAATTGAATGAGTGAAAATTGTATTTTTAAGTATGGGGTTTGAAATTAGATGTACAGGTTGAACATTTGAGCAGAGCAGGACCTAACAATATGACAAGTGAATTGTTAAATTTCTCTGTACTTGTGTTAATGAAATTCTTATGATAATTTACTGTTTCCTATACCTCTTACTGGAAAATGTTTATTTTGTTTGATTCATCTTAGTTCTCTTTAAGGACTTAGAAACCTCTTTATTAAACCAAAACAATAGCAGGTAGACCATTTTTGTTACCATGTGGGATTTTTTCCTTATAAGACTAATGCATAGTTCATAATTCTCATGATATATTCTGGACTAAGATCTAAGATTAGTAGATTACTTATGGGTTGGAGAAGAAGTATTAAAAATTGACTTTTAAATTACCATTAATTTTATTGAAGGTTAAACGCAGCACAAGAACTTATGCATCTGATTCATGGAATAACAAAGGAAAAGAAGATGTATTTGGAATTAATGTTGTTGAAGACGACCTGAGAGTTACTGAAATCCCAGCGCATCCTAGACACATGAAACAGATGAAACCCCATCAAATTGAAGGATTTAATTTTCTTGTTAGAAATCTTGCAGGTGACCATCCTGGTGGCTGCATCTTAGCCCATGCTCCAGGATCTGGAAAAACATTCATGATAATCAGTTTCATGCAAAGTTTTTTAGGCAAGTATCCGAATGCAAGACCCTTAGTGGTGCTTCCTAAGGGAATATTGTCAACATGGAAAAAGGAGTTTCAAACATGGCAGGTTGAGGACATACCTCTATATGACTTCTACACAGTGAAGGCAGACAGTAGAAGTCAACAACTAGAAGTGCTGAAGCAATGGATGGAGCAGAAGAGTATCCTTTTCTTAGGATACAAACAGTTCTCTTCTATCGTATGTGATAATGGGACCAACTCTACATCATTATCTTGCCAAGATATTTTGCTTAAGGTTCCTTCAATTCTTATATTAGATGAGGGGCATAATCCTAGAAATGAAAACACAGATATGGTACAGTCCCTTGCTAAAGTTCAAACGCCTAGAAAAGTTGTGCTGTCAGGGACGCTTTATCAAAATCATGTCAGGGAGGTGTTTAACATTTTAAATCTTGTGCGGCCAAAATTTTTGAAGATGGAAACATCGAAGCCTATTGTGAGGCGCATTCATAGTAGAATTCATATACCAGGGGTGAGAAGCTTCTATGACTTAGTTGAAAACACTTTGCAGAAGGACACTGATTTCAAAAGGAAAATAGCTGTCATACAAGATTTACGTGAGATGACGAGCAAGGTACTTCACTATTATAAAGGAGATTTTCTTGATGAGCTTCCTGGTCTTGTTGATTTTACTGTGGTGCTCACTCTTAGCCCTAGACAGAAGCCTGAAGTAGGGAAAATAAAAAAGTTCTCCAGAAGAAAGTTCAAGATATCTTCAGTAGGAAGTGCTGTCTATTTGCATCCTAAACTGAAACCACTAGCAGAAAATTGTGGTGAAAATTCTATTTCTGATCATGTAATGGATGATTTGATAGAGAAACTGGATGTTAGAGATGGTGTGAAGTCAAAATTCTATTACAACATGCTAAATTTGTGTGAATCAGCAGGGGAGAAGCTGCTAGTTTTCAGTCAGTATCTGTTACCTTTGAAATATTTAGAAAGGTTGACTATGAAGTGGAAAGGCTGGAGTCTTGGAAGAGAAATTTTTGTAATTTCAGGAGAATCAAGTTCAGAGCATCGAGAATGGTCCATGGAAAAATTTAATAATTCTCCTGTAGCCAAAGTCTTCTTTGGCTCAATCAAGGCATGTGGAGAGGGTATATCACTGGTTGGGGCCTCCCGCATAATTATTTTGGACGTTCATCTCAACCCGTCAGTTACACGTCAAGCTATAGGTCGTGCATTCAGACCTGGCCAGATGAAGAAGGTGTTTGTGTATCGTTTAGTATCTGCTGATTCTCCAGAAGAGGAAGACCACTATGCTTGTTTCAAGAAAGAATTAATTTCAAAAATGTGGTTTGAATGGAATGAGTATTGTGGTGATCGAGCTTTTGAAGTTGAAGCGGTTGAGGTGAAAGAGTGTGGTGATCAATTTCTTGAAAGTCCACTGTTAGGGGAGGATGTAAAAGCTTTGTATAAAAGGTTAGTGACCATTCTTTCCCTTTTTGCATATCTATCTTTTTACATTTATATTATAACTCATATCTGAAGGTTTTCTTGCATTACTGATTAGGATCTACATAAAACTAGAAATATTTTGGATAAAATAATTTTATAGAAGCCTATCTTTTCAAAATAAATATCAATCATTGATTTTGTTGGAATTTGATTTGGCTTTCACTATTTAGTGTTGGGTAAAATTAAATTAAAAATATAATAAGAAGATAATTAATTTAAGAGTTTATTGGGATACAATTAAATAATAAAGATAATTAGGAGTTTGTTGGGACATTTTGATATTATTGATATCTTGGGTAGTTATTATTTGATTTTGGGAGTTTTTATTTTTTTAAGATAAGATTAGGGTTTTGTGGGAGTATATAAATACACCATTGTATCCTTTGTGAGGTACGACAAAATTAATAAAAGTGAGTTTTCAGAAATTCTTTGTTGTCAAATTGGTATAAGAGCTAGGATTTTTTAGAAGAGCTAAAGTTTCAGTTGTTGAGCGTCAACAAAAGTTGAAGAGTGAGAATGACTGCTTTGACGAATGCTACAACCCCGACTGACGAAGGATTGTCAGCTATGATAGATGAAGTGTCTAGATGAAGGTTCTCCTTAAAGCCCAAGAAGCCCAAGATTGTTGAGAAATAGTAGAGGAAGGTTTTGAAGAACTAAAAATCATAGAAGGATGGACATCCTCTGACAAAAGTTGAAGAGTGAGAATGACTGCATTGACGAATGCTACAACCCCGACTGACGAAGGATGTCAGCTATGATAGATGAAGTGTCTAGATGAAGGTTCTCCTTAAAGCCTAAGAAGCCCAAGGTTATTAAGAAATAGTAGAGGAAGGTTTTGAAGAACTAAAAATCATAGAAGGATGAACATCCTCTGCTCTCGAGGCATTAAAAGAGTAAAGTTCCAAGAATAGTGCAACTCTGTTTACATTATTTTGAGTTGTAAAAGATTTTGATTTTGAGAATATTGTAAAAGCTACATTTGCAAATGAAGCATGGATGACCTTGGAGACAACACACAAGGGCCATGATTGGATCAAATAGATTTGATTATAGACACTGTATGGTAAATTTGAAGACATGAGGATGAAGGAGTCGAAAGAAGTTTTCGAGGACACCACGTGTGTCAAAATCAGCTCAATTAGGATGGTGAGCTATATCTAAAACCATGTACAAAAGATCTTGAGATTGATGACCAACGATTAAGAACAAAGTATGTGTCATAGAAGAATTAAGGGACTTGTCCAAGCTCACGATTCAAGAGCTGGCTGGTTCACTTGGAGCCCATGAGTATCAAAGGAAAAAAATGAAGGAGACGATTGTACAAATACTCCAGAACAAGACAAAAGAGGAGAAGATTCTCTATTCTTAGAATAATAGAGGTAGAGGAGGATGCAGTGGTCAAGGCTGAGGTGGACAATTTGGTCGAGGAGGCCGAGGTGATGAGAAGGAAGAAAGAGTTCAGCAAAATTGGCGAGGAAAAGGACATGATCGGAGAGGAGGTCGATGAACCACTCAAACATCGAGTACTTATGGTAGTAAGTATGACCATTATGCGAATAATTGCTATTTAGTGTAGTAAGTATGACCACTGTGAATGATTGCTACTCAAACAAATGTTTTACCTGTGTAAAAGTGGGGCATTTTGCGAAAGAATACCAAAGTTGCAGTTGCAAAGGAGACGAAAATTGAAGAAACAATATTGTTGATGGTTGATTTAAACACGGGAAATAATAGTGATGGAGTTCGGAAAGAAGATAATTAGTTTAAGAGTTTATTGGGATAAAATTAAATAAAAAAGATAATTAGGAGTTTGTTGGGGTATTTTGATATTATTGATATCTTTGTTAGTTATTATTTGATTTTGGGAGTTTTTATTTCCTAAGATAAGATTAGGGTTTGTGGGAGTATATAAATACACCATTGTATTCCTCATTGAGGTATTGAGGTATTGAAGTATGACAAAAAATTAATAAAAGTGAGTTTTCAAGAATTCTTTGTTATCAATTAGAACATTCTGGAGCTTTGCATGTTGTTCTGTATTTTGTGTTTAAAACTCGTTTTGTATTTCCATCTGGTTTTCTTTACTTGTTGCTCTGAGAGATTTGTGATTCTGGTTTGGTTTCAGTAGTATTTATGCATTTTAGGTCTGTGTTCCAGGTGATCAAGAGAATCAGAGTCTGGTTATCCATATAACAGATCAAGAGAATTTGACTTTGCAAGCTTGGAATCCTCCATCCTTTATTTTCATGTCCTATAACAAATTTCATGTGCATCAAGTTTGATCGTTTATTTCGTAGGCATTATTTTTGTAGTTACAATATGTACTGTACTGCTTTTATGTATGACAGGTTCACTCAAGGTGCTTGTGCTTTACAATGTCTATGAATTAGCACAATGAATGGTATTTGCCCAAAATGTTAATGTTATTTATGCTAATTGGTTCGAGTGGTTCATTGGAATAGCCCACATAGTATTTTGAGTGAGATCCTTGGAATATAACACATGCTGCATTTTGAACTGTCTAAATACAGAATTTGACAGTGATACGTTGTCATCGGTTGAATGGTTTTTCAATTTTCGTGATCTAGTTTTAGTTTTAGGATGTGTAGATATGAAGTGGCACAATGAAGCGGTGTACATGTATGTGTTGGCCTAAGTCTAATAGGAAAAAAATATCAGTCTCGTTCAAAATGGTGTGAATACATAAAAAAAAAAAGGATTCTTACAGTATAACTGTTCATTTTAAAATGTATTTATATATTAGCAGTAGTTAAATATATATAGTTGAGTTCAAGCTAATTGCACAAACATTTACTATTTTATTGAATTTATTTATCTGATTTTATCAGAGGCTAGATTATTATCACAATCTAATTATTAGGCTTTCATCAAGACAATGGACCAGGGTGCAGGTTTTTGTCTCTTGATCTCTGACTTTTTTAACTATGGTAGTTTTTGATTTTAAGTCTCTATGTTCGTTCTTGTTGGGTTTCGGATTTTTCGTTCAGTCCTCGATTTATATTATTTTTAAAAAGATAATTATATTTATAATAAATTAATTTTATTATGTATTTTTTATATATAAATAAATATTTATAATTTTATAATTTGTAATTATTATTAATTAAATATACATTTTAATTTATTATATTTATATTAAAATATGTATATAAAAGAAATATTTAATTATTTTTTATTTATATATATATATATAAAATATTTATAATAATAATAATAATATTATTATTATTATTATAATACTGTATTCAAATATTTGAATATTTATAACATTATTATTATTATTATTATTATAATACTGTATTTAAACATTTAATTATATATATAAGTTAATTCATTTTTAAATTGTCATTTAAAAATATGAAATATATAGTTTATAAGAAAATATTTTATAAGTTAATTCTTATTTAATTAGTTTGAAGTAATAAAAGTTTAAATTATCAATTCCTTATAATTCTTTAAAATATAATTATTTTATTAAGATAAAATTTGATATATGATAAATAAGAATAATATGATAAAAAATAAGAAATAATAAAATTTAATAAATATAAATTATAAATAAAATAAAACTAATTACTACTAAAATTTATGTAAAATATTTAGAAAAAGATAAAGAAAAAAAATTAACTTTATTTTCATCAAATTGGTTGAAAAGATTGAAAAAAAAATTGATAGGAGATATTAAGGAAATATGAAAAACTGAAAGGTAAAAAAAGAAAATAATGTAATAAATTAATTAATATAAAAGATTAAAAAAATAAAAAAATTAAAAGGTGGGTAGAAGAAAAATAAAAATTGATAAAATATAAAAAATAATCTTATATGTAATAAAAAAATTTAAATATTAATATTTTAAAATTTAAATATAGAGTGGACGAGACAGTCGAATTAGAGATTGTATTACTCATGCTCAACTTTTTAAAGTTGGAAAAAGTCAAACCTGCGTCAAGTCAATTCAGGTTTTTCCATTACACTCGGGACAGGACACGACAGGTTTAATTTTCCTACCTACTCTTTACAAATCCATATAATTGATCAAACAGACATTCTATAATCATTTTTATGACATTGAAGACGTATACAAATAAAACAAATAAAAATATATCAAACAGACATTCTATAATCATTTTTATGACATTGAAGACGTATACAAATAAAACAAATAAAAATATATGCTTACAAATTAGGATGGACAAAATAATTTATTTATAATCTAATCCCTATCTTTTTATTTAAAATGAAATACCGAGTTAATATATATTTTAAAAATATAGTAAAATTTAAATAGTTCAGTTGTTACATTGATATCATTATTTAATTTTAACAAAATTTAACCGAAATAATTATAATAATATAGAGTTATAATTTAATAATTATATCGATAAAATTCGCTTTCTATATATTATATTTTTAATGTGTATTAATACAAAATCACGTGAAGTAGCTGCGTTTTAATCAATTTTTAGTTAATGTTTTTATGTTCATTTTCCTTGATTTTTCCACGGTCACCGGTTGGTAAGGTCTCCAGTTAATTTCGATCTCCCTCTCTGTATTTCTCTCGTTAGCATTGAATCTTCACTCATTAACCGTTGCAAAGTTCGCCGGAGAATCGGGTTCGGCCTCCGCTCTCCGATGAACGCTCTATAGAACACATGGCGGAGCACGGCAGCGCTGCCGTCAATGACGGCGAAACAGGACCGCAACAAAGCGAACGCCACCACGTTAACAACGACAACAACGCGAAGAGTATAGATCCTGAGTTGTTCTGCTGTTTGCTTCAGCCAGCCACCGCCGACACCGATCCCCAGTACATCGGCATGCGCCGCCTCCTCCTTCATCGGAAGGCGGAGGCCGGAGATCTCCGCCGCCTAGTACGCTTTGTGTAGAACACGCGCTCTAATATTTTGATAATTTTATCATCACAATCTGAAAATTTAGATTGTGATCAGTGCTTCTAGCTTAATTCTCTCAATGATTACCGTGTCGATCTCGTTCTTTTATATGCATTTAGTTTATTTCTTCTTCTTTTTTTCAGATTAATCGTGATAGATTTTCATTCCTTCCGGTGATTTTTTTTTTCTTTCAATGCTGTGACCTCTGTCTGTCTATTGTTACATTTTGATTTTTGGATTGTAAGCTTGTTGACCCGCATGTTCTTCCAATGTTCTCAATCGTCGTAAACAATATTTAATTACGTTTAGTTCTGGATATATTATTATTATTATTATTAGAACAGTATTTATATACAGTTCCAAGTGCAGTTCATCAGAATTGGAGTTTTACATAGGTAATCCATGTTTACAAAGATTGCCGAGGTGAAACTTCAATTCTGACAAGAGAATAGTATCAAAAGTACACAAGGAACTGCATCTAAGTTCTGTCTTTCTTATTATTAATACTTGTGTTAGTGTTATCTCCTATGGCTGTGTTGTTGATACTTTTTGACTTTTGGACATGTGATTTTGTTGAAGGATTGGAGATGCAATGGGAAAACTTACGTGGCATACCGGAATTACATAAGTAGGCCTAGAAACTGGGAAAGGGATAGTTCACGTGCCCATAGTCTCCAGAGTACTCCAGGAAACAGGTTGCTGATTCTTTTTTTTTTTTTTTACCGGAAGTAATGAGCACATATATGCTTAATTTTGTTTCACGCGATTTCATGATATGGTCTATAAAAAGGGATAAAATAAGGAGTTAAAGATGCCCATGATTGGATATGGAGCTTCAAAGTGATCTGGATGTGTTGTTGGATTGTAAATAAAACTTTGATCTGTAGGGAAAATGGAAAATTTTGGAAGGCAGATGTTGATATTCATTAAAATGCACTTTCTTTCTTCATATATGTAGCAAAGCTATGGCCATTTGTCTCAAACATATTTACAAGGGATTAAAATCACCTGCCTCCAAACTATGTCTTCATCCTTCCCCTCCACTAAAAAATTGTCGTATCATTTAATTTTTAAGTTGGGTTTATTTGAATCATTAGTTAAATGATGTGATAAATTTTTACTGGAGCGGACACGAATGGAGAAAGGTGATTTCTATCCATTCACAGGATGATTATGATTTATAACTTGTTGTGTAGCAAGCTGTTTTAGCTTATCTAATTTTCTTCACTAGTCTTTTCTTGTTTTAAGTTACTTTAGGAGGATATCATATTTTCCAATATTTGAACTTTGTTTCTTATATCAAAATGATCTTAATTTCTTTACATTGTTTCCCCATCAGTTGCTGTCCTTTCTTATTTTACTGTGAATTCCATGTACTTCTTTGTGATTAACTCTTCAATTTGAGTTTCTGTTTGTAATTATAACCACATTTTATGTCAATGCAGCTTTCTCATTCATGGTACTAGTTTAAATTTATGTTTCCATACAATTCTGACATCAGGATAATTTACTGGTTGATGCATCAGTGGCCGATTTTTTCCATCTCCAAGTCCACACTCCCGTTGGTCTGAGGCGGACAGCGTGAGTTCTGGGCGGGTAAGTTGTGCATTGTAGATTTTGTTGCACATAACTCTTGTCATTGACTCTTGACAATTGGGTTGAGAAATGCCATATCCATTAGAATTGTCAACAGATAGACATATCTGTTAATGGAATTTATAATTTACAATTTAAGTACATAGATACTATCAGAGTGTACAATAACAACTGATAGGATAACCAGCCATTCATTTGAACTGGTAGTAACCTAGGCACTAGGCTTTTGGCTGGGTGCGGCAAGCATGCTGTTGTCAAGGAAGTGATGATTGTGCTTCGGTGGGGCACCTGGGAAAGTGAGATCCTTAGGCTTATTTAGTTATTCTTTATACTTTTAGTTAAGGAGAGAAAAGCTTATAGAAGAGCTAAGCAAAGCATTCAGAAACTATATTAGATACATTAGAAAAATGCTAGATAATTTTGTATTACTCATAAAGCTCTTAGAATTGCCATATATGATACACTATATTCTTCACTAATAATTAGCTCTAAACCAACCCTATACTTGCTGGGTGGGTTTGACTGTCACATGATATTAGTAAGTTGGCTCAGTCTTCTTGCTGAAACTACTATTATAGAAGTTGCTGTTAGTCAGAGTAAATACACCTAACTTTCCTGGATTAGGGTAAATTTACATAGAATTTCCTTATTTGTTTAGATATTATGTAAGACTACACTAATGAAATAGATAGAATGACCATATATTTAACAATATAGTTACAAGTATACTTAGTGTGTTTATACTGTTTAGGGATATGAGGGTTATGTTAGGCCATGATAATTTGTAGCTTTGTTTAATTGTTTTGAAATTGGAGGAGGTTTGTACTGTTTAGCTCATATGCTGTGAGTATTAGTTTAAATTTCATGGTCATTTACTTTTTTTGTGTCATTTATCAAAATCATGTGTTAATTTAATTTACATTGTAGGATCTGCAAAATGCAAATCCAGTATATAATCATAGATCAAGTTTTGGCTCAACTGCAAGTGATTCTGATCGTCCTAAACACCGTGGGGCTGAGTCTGCTTATTCTTTTGTTGGAATGCATTGTATCTTTGATAAGTGCAAAACCGCTGGTAAGTCTATTATAAATTTGACTTTAATTACCCTAGTGTCAGTCTCTGTTTCACTTGGTTTTCATTGTGGAATAATCCTGAAAATCTTTATGTGTAGTTACGGTATTGAAGTTTGGGCACATGAGTTCTGAACTACTTGCTTATGGGGCAGCGGATGGAACCTTGACTGTGTGCAGTGTATCAGAGAATCCTTCAGTCATCAAACAATTAGAAGGGCATTCCAAAGACGTGACAGGTTGGAAAAACTGTCTTTGTTTATTTGATTTATATTTAATGCTGCATGACGTATATGGTCAAGTGCACAAGGCAATATCATCTAATGTATTATTTTTAATTGGGGGATTAGGGATCAATGAATCTTGGTCTTTATGTTTCCAATTGGAGATCAAATTGGCCAGATTTTAGAAAAAATTGTCAGCCACTGACCAAATATTAAAGCTGAATTTGTTACTTATTCTTAATGTGGGGTTATGATTTTCCAAGATTTCCTAAAGTGTAATTTATTACATGACTTCGTATGCTTGTTTATTTTCAGATTTTGATTTTTCATCAAACAATCAATACATTGCATCGTCTTCATTGGATAAAACTGTGAGAGTATGGGAGATAGCGAAAGGTATCTGCATACGGGTGATATATGGAGTATCTTCACAATTGTGTATCCGTTTTCACCCTGTAAGTATAATTGTATGTATGTCTCTGTGTTCATGTATAAGGGTGTCTTGTTTATTTATAATTATAAAGAATGCTAGCCTTCTCATCTCTTCTGAGGATATCATTGCTTTCTTTCATAGTTGGACAAAGAACCCTCGTCTTAAATTTGAAAACTTTAGATATTCTGGTAATTATTTTTTTGGTAAATTTCATGTTTGTATGAAAAGTAACATTCTCTGCCTTTTATCTCTTTCTTTGTGTGTATTCAATTTACTATATTCTCACTCTCTTATGCCTATGTTTTTCTAGAGGTTCTAATAGCCATTCTTTACGCCAAAGGAGGTGATAAAATTGACTTTCCTAGATTGAAGATGGCTAGATTTTTTATGGGTGGAATTTAATCTCTCAGTTTGCAGAAGGACAGACATTCATTGTGATCTTGAAGTTTATTTGCTTGTAGTTTTTTTTTTTTTTTTTTCTTGGCAGAACTTGTTTTCAGATAGAGAAAATGATGAGCTTGACCGGTATTTTTCTCTGCAGTCCATGTTAAAGAATTTAAGACTTCCTCTAGACACAGGGTTTATTTTTGGGTTGGTTGTGCTTGAGATTGCAACAAATACAAATATGCTTGAATGAAACATAAAATAGTGATGGGAAGAAGCTGTGAAGTTAGTATGTAGAATTTTTCCAACTTTGTCATATCTAGTGAAACTGAGAATGTTCTTTTCTATGATAGAGGGTGAGCATGGGAGGAGGGGAGTTTTTCAGTTAGGAAAGAATTGGAAAATAACAATTTGCATAATGTTTCCTTCTTCTTATCATCTACTGAAACTTAATATTCTTTGCAACTTGTTCGATTTTTCCAATGATATGGTTTTCTATATCATTGTGCATGTGGATTTGGATATTTTACATTGGTAAATAAATTCCATCCTTGGTTACTACTGAAGCCTGTAATTTTTCTGTATTTGGTGCAGGTAAATAACAACTTCCTTTCAGTTGGTAATGCAAACAAAGAAATCAATGTAAATATATTAATTGTTTCCATTTTGTTTTTATAGAGAAGGAAGTAACATGTTTGACACCTTTGGTGAAGCCTTTCTATTGGAATGTATTTTTATCTTGATTATTCTTCTTGCATGGTAAACCTGAAATGTCTTTGCTGTGGCATCATCGCTCAGACCTTAAATGTCATTGAAGTAGCATTGTGTTCTTTGTTTGTAAAGTATTGAGAGTTGTTTGCTTTGTATGGTTTGGTGCTATTGTTATGTTTAGATGTTTCACAGAATGGAGTAAAATGAATTGGGAATGAAGCAGAGTTACATTCCTGTGTTTAGATATAAATGAGGGAAGAAATAGAAAGGTTTTGTGATTTATAAGTGATGCGCTTTAAAATTCAAATATAACCCTTTTATTAAGTTACTTTATGAAGGTAAAGTAGTAAATGTCAAGTTTTTGAAAAGTAAAAGTAACCCCTCGTTATCCCTTGGTTGTACACACTTTACCTTCCACGAAATTGCAAACTCCAAAATATGGAGAATTAATCCTTTCCCATCATTTCCTTTCCTCTCCCCATATTCAAGCAGACTGATAGATCATATGATTGAGTCATTTGGTAGGAAGAATGTTTGTTTGTTATTCAGGCACCGGAATAAGAGGAAAACAATGACAGTCAGGTCAATCATCGAAGACATACTTTCATTTATGATTTGATAAATATTCCCACTATTAAATATTTGTGGCTTAGTTACTATGCGTGTTTTTTACTCCTTTCCTCCATAAAATTCTCTGCTATTATGTTGTCAGTTTTTACTTTTATTTCCTTTTACAGTAATTTATTATTTTTCTTAAATATGATATTATGTATCAGGTGTTCAATTTTAGTACCGGAAGGATAATTAATAAATCACTATTTGACAGTGGAGTTACCTCTTTGGACCATGACCATACAGGACTTCTCATATTTTGTGGAGATGCCCAGGTGAGCTGCTCTAGATATATGCACATGTATTTTGTTTAGTATATCCTAATTGTTAGGTTGATCTCATTTTCTTTAGGTACTGGATTGTATGTGCAGGGGTGTATATACTCAGTAAATATGAACTCTCACACTGGTGTATTATCTCGATCGCATCATTTTCGAAATAGTAGCAGGCAGAAATCTCCTGTTACCACCGTGCAGTACAGGAGTTTCTCTCTACTCGCTGGCGGACCTGTGTTATTGACATGTACCCAGGATGGAAACCTGTCTTTCTTCAGGTACAAAAAAAGTTTTCAATTACCCCGAGTGCATTCAGTTCTCTTTGTTTGAACTCTTATTTTTCTTTGGACCACTAATGCTGGTGTATTGTAGTGTGGCTTTGGAGATAAATGGCTATTTATCTCTTCGATGCTCACTAAAATTAGCTCCACGTATTCGCAAAATTCAAGCTTCTTTCTGTCCTCTCCTATCCCTTGAAAAAGGAGAATTCATAGGTATGTTGATATCATTCTTGCGTACTTTTTCTTCTCCTTTCCCCCTCTTTTGTTTCATGAAGGACTTTTAAATAATTTTCTGGTCTTATTAATTAACCCAAATCTTCCCTGCGTAAAAACTAAGGCAGGAATTATATACTGCATGAATTTGTCAACTTTCCATAATTGTTTATAAGAAAAGAAATCAAATTTCTTTCACAAGTTAAAATCAAAACTTGTGATTTAACATAGAAGAGAATTTTTTTATCGAAACGAGATTTAAATAAGGCTTACATTGAGACTTCAATGTGAACGGAGACTTGTATGCTACAGACCAAGTTTTTACTGAATACCTTAACTACAACAACATTACAATGGTTGTCTTTGTAACATAATCTTCTGTTGTCATGTGAAGTTGCTGGAAGTGAGGACTCAAATGTCTATTTTTATGATTTAACTCGGCCAAAAAATACATGCGTGAACAAGCTACAGGTTAGTCTTACTTTCATTGAAGGTGTTTTTATTTATTTTGTAAACTGGTGACTGATCTCTGATAGAGAACCTGACTAATCATCTACAACCCAAAAATTAAGGGGATTGAGTCTGGATTTTTGCTTAAACCATCATGATTTGTTAGTGGGTATTAATGTTATAATAAAAGCTCAAAATGAATATAAGTTTTGTAATGCAGGGTCATCGGTTTCCTGTAATGGGTATTGCCTGGAACCATGGAGAAAATTTATTGGCTTCATCTGATTTTTTTGGCGTAGTAATTGTGTGGAAGAGAGAAAGAACAAATCAAAAGAAAAACATACAACAATAGAAGTTTAAAGGCTTTTAGTTGATGGCCCGTGAAGATAGCATTATTTGCCCAAGTTTTTCCTTTTTTCACTCACCATTCTCCTTTTGTATTCTTGTGCTATTATGAAGTAAATCAATTTAATCATCCGCAGCCTCACAGGAAACGGAAGTAATTATATTCAAACAGTGTACTGTTTTGTATTCTTAGTCGTGATTAGGGATTTTTGTATACGAATTGTGAAGAATATTTTGTATTTAGACATATTTTGTTATCTGTAATTTTATACAATCAAACGAATAATAAGGCACTTTTTTTCTGAATTAGCATTTCGATTTACGAAGATTTTGGATTCCAAGTTAGTTCCTTAAATTTCAGTATTTCTGTAAATTTGTTTCGAAAAATTCATACTCCCTCCTGTCTACGATGACTACAGTTTGAAAGTTTTTTTTTATTATCAGTATCGTATCCATTTTTAAAAATTTTTATTTTTTAAAGAAATGCATCAGAGATGAAGAAATTAATTAATCTAGGACTAAACTAAAAATAAATAACTAATGTTTAACTGATTTGTTTTTTCTAAAAAGATTAAAATTGTAGTCATCACGAAAGGAGTAAAATAGTCATTTTACACATGAAACCTATCCACAAAATATCAAAACAAATATCATAAAATTTATTTTTATTTAATTTTTTCAAAGAAAACAAAAAATATATAATAGATTCAAGAAAATTAACCGATCGAATTCAAAACCAATTTTTTAAATATAATAGTTTTTAACCATGATATTATATAATTTATGAATATAAAATAAAATTAAAAATAAATCAAAATACATGAATAATTATTAAAAAAATGACAACATATTTTTATTAAAAAATATTTAATAAATTTTTTTGACAATTTCATAATAACCAAAATTTCTAAAACTTACTTAAAATTGAATCCCAAAAGAAGCTAATTTGATATAATTCAAATTTTATATTAAATAATTTAAAATCAAACCTGATGAAAAAATTCATTCAAGGAACAAACCACACAAGAAAAAAGTTCAGATTCAAAAGAGACTTGAGTTTAAATTTGTAAAACCCAACCCCCTAAATTTCAAATTTAGACAAATCCTCAAAGAAATCCCCACATATTTTTACAAAGTTACAGTCTTAAATCTGAACAATCAAATAACTGGAAAAAGGGAAAATGCCTTCTCATTGTTGTTCATTGAAAGTCAAATCCTACCTGACACGTACAATAAAAACAGATATTAGGTTATGCAAAAAAAAAAAAATCAATTGGTAACAACACTGCCAAGTTCAGAAAATTTTACTCACAATCACATGAAATTGAAAAATAATTGCCCACCCACATTACTGAAAGGTACACATCCTACCTGACAGAAATAAACAAAATATCAGGAGAAAAAAACTTTGATTGGCAGCATATGATATGCAAAACGGGGAAAAATGGTCACTGACCTTTTGTACAGAGCTTTTACATCTTCCCCCAGCAATGGACTTTCAAGAAACATATCGCTACAATCTTTCACATCAACTTCCTCAACTTCAAATGCTCGATCACCACAATACTCGTTCCATTCAAACCACATTTTTGAAATGAATTCCTTCTTGAAACAAGTGTTGTGATCCTCCTCTTCTGGAGAATCAGCAGACACCAATCGATACACAAAGACTTTCTTCTGCTGGCCCGGTCTGAACGCACGACCAATAGCTTGGCGAGTAACAGAAGGATTAAGGTGAACATCCAAAATAACTATGCGTGATGCCCCGACCAATGATATACCCTCTCCACAAGCCTTTATAGAGCCAAAAAAGACTTTGGCATCAGGAGAATTGTTAAATCTTTCCATGGACCATTCTCGGTGCTCATAGCTTGATTCTCCTGAGATTACAAATATTTCCTTTCCTAGACTCCAGCCTTTACATTGCATGGTTAACCTTTCCAAATATTTCAAAGGGAGCAAGTACTGACTAAATACTAGAAGTTTCTCGCCAGCTGATTCACACAAATTGAGCATGTTCAAAAAGAATTTGGACTTCACACCATCTCTAGCATCTGATTTTTCTATCAAAGCATCAATTATGTCATCAGATATATTATTTTCTCCACATTTTTCAGCTAAAGTTTTCAGTTTAGGGTGCAAATAGACAGCACTGCCTATAGAAGATATCTTGAACTTTCCAGATGACTTCTTTAATTTTTCAATGTCAAGCTTTTGTTTAGGGCTAAGATTGAGTACCACAGTAAAATCAACGAGACCAGGAAGCTCATCAAGAAAATCCCCTTTATAATAATGAAGGACATTGCTTGTCATCTCGCGCAAATCACGTATGACGGCAACTTTACTTTTAAAATCTGTGCCCTTCAAAATGTTTTCAACAAGATCATAGAAGCTTCTAACACCTTGTATATGAACTCTACTATGAATGCGCCTGACGATAGGCTTAGATGTTTCCATCTTCAAAAATTTTGGACGAACAAGATTTAGAATGTTAAACACCTCCTTGACATGATTTTGATAAAGTGTTCCTGAGAGAACAACTTTTCTAGGTGTGTGAACTTTAACAATGGATTGAACCATATCTGTGTTTTCATTTCTTGGATTATGCCCCTCGTCTAAAATAAGAATTGAAGGAATCTTGAGTAAAATCTCTTGGCAAGATAAAGAAGTATTGTTGGTCCCATCATTACAGACAATAGAGGAGAACTGTTTGTATCCTAAGAAAAGAATACTCTTCTTATCCACCCATTGCTTCAACACTTCTAGTTGTTGACTTCTACTATCTGCCTTCACTGTGTAAAAGTCATATAGAGGTATGTCCTCCACTTGCCATGTTTGGAACTCCTTTTTCCAGGTTGACAATATTCCCTTAGGAAGCACCACTAAGGGTCTCGCATTCGGATATATGCCTAGAAAACTTTGCATGAAACTAATAATCATGAACGTTTTTCCTGATCCTGGAGCATGGGCTAAGATGCAGCCACCAGGATGATCACCCGCAAGATTCCTAACTAGAAAATTGAATCCTTCAATTTGATGGGGTTTCATCCGTTTCATATGTCTAGGATGTGCTGAGAATTCTGTTATCTTAAGATCATCTTCAGCAACATTAACTCCAAGTACATCTGCTTTGGTATTACAAGAGTCAGACGCATAAGTCCTTGTGCTCCGTTTAACCTTCAATAAAATATAAAATTAATAATAAAAAATTAATAATAATAATAATAATAATAAAAAAGTCAATCTTTTTAACGCATCTGTCACAGCCCGAAGTAATATTAGATCTTAATCTAGAATACACATCGGCAGAGTTAAGAACTAGGTATAATTTTCATAAAACAGTCAAGTCCACATTATATGAATGGGTCTACCTACACTATTTATTATTTTAGTTTAATAAAGAGGTTTTCGAGTCCTTAAAGAAAATGTAAGTTAAAATAAAATGAAATCAGCATTTTCTCACTTGTCATTTTGTTATGTTTATGCCCTGCCATTTTCAAAATTTAATTTGTATTATGCATCTAATTTCAAGAGCCATAATTGAAAGTGATCATAAAACTAAAAGCATATTTTATGTTTTATCACATATTCATAAAATAATTATAATTAAGATTTATAACAAAAAAAAATTAATGCAAAACAAAAAGCCTAACCTTGTACTGAAACTCAAATATGGTTTCAATTTTTCGGTCAATAATGCCGCAAACTCGACAAACATAACCAATATCATCTTTTAAAATAAAAAAATGATCACAGTCCTCATCTCTTTCCGATTCTTCATCGTCTGTTTCAACTTCTTCATCTGGCAGAGGATTAGCGGAAACAACCTAGTAGAGGCAACAATTAAACTCGGACAATGCCAAATGAACTCTGAAAACTGCAATTTGAAGGTAGCCTTCAAAGTAATAAATAATGTACTAAGTTAAATAATTATGACTTGTGTACAAATAATTTTACTGAGCAGAAAATAAAACGTGACAGTGTCACCTCAGTAACCTTTAACCTAACTCATCAATTCTAGTGAATAATTACAAATTAAATGACACAAAAAATCATCCAAATAGTAGAAGATAAACTGAATGACAAAAACAGGTATTATCATTGAAAAATTAAAACAAAATTATACTTTGGAACACTCCATTGCCATTGACATCTCCTTCCAAATATCTTCCAGGCTATCATTGTCCACGGTATCAACTTGATAATCCCCTTCCTCCTTTACACCAATATAAACACCTTTATCTCCCGTAGTTCTACCTTTACCCCCCATACTTGTCTCAATTTTCAGATCTTTACTTTCGCCATGATAAGGAAAGGGAGTGAACCCCTAAAATGCATTGTTAACACAACAGTAAAGTATGTTAATGAAATGAAAAGCAAGAAGAAATAGCCAGTATCTTATCATGAAGACCAACTACAAATATAAATCTAAATACACAGAAAAATACTAAGTTACCTATATGGAAATTTAGAGATTCAAATGAAAATTTTTGACACAAATATGTTCATAAAAGTAAATGGTTAAACTCATATCATTATTCACTATTCCCCTTCAACATTGATACGTGAATAACAGGTTAAAAAAAAAAAGAATATATAGAAATAGCCCGACATCTAGATAAAATATAAATCCAGATTCATCAATTATTTTCATTTTCAACCCCATCAATTGCCCAATGACCAAGCATAATATAAAGAATCAAAAGTAAACGAAAAATCATACTGCATCAGAATATTCAAATATATCCAATCCAGTGATTTCAAAACTATGACTGAGTTAAAATAGTCTACTTCAGTGAAACTTGGAAAAGTATTAGAAATTAAGTACTTATTTTTAAGAGTAATGGATTGAGAATTTTTAACGTTACTTGTTTCATTCTTCAACTTTCACCTCAGATCTACACACATTCATTAATGTTAATTTTGTAATTAATCTATGCCTTTGCACAAGGAAGGAACACTAATATACTTTAAAGAAAACCAGTTAAATTTGAGAGTTTAATATAATGATAATCATCTTGCATTAGTGTTTTTTCAATAAGTATATGGTTCAATGAAAAACAAAAAAGCAACGGTAAATGCAACACCAAGGAAAATATGTTGTTGAGAGAAAAAAAATCAGGACAACGGTATTATGCAATAAAACTTCAATGACATATTTACAGGAATCTCCAGCCACAACACAAAAGTTGAAAATAAATGCTACAGTTTTGTTAAATTATGTTAGGCCTACAAGTAGTGTTCACAAAAGGGGAAAAAATAATCGAATGAATGGAGAGGTTAGGGTGCGTGATGCAGGAATCATACAGTGTGCCAAAAGAAAGACCAAATGAGTATATTGGAAGGGAGGGTAATCATATGAAGAGAAGAATTATTATTAGGTTATGGCTGGTGATTTTGAGTAGAGGCTAATTTGATGACTATTCCATAATTGTAAGGAGATTATCTCCAACTATTTGTTGCTTCTCTGTTGGATTTCTCTAATTCCATTTATAGAGGAATTTTCTTCGCATCAGCACTAGATATTAGTACAAGTTTAGCTCCGTCTGATGTGTCGTATATTTAAATTGTTACAGAAGTAAGGAAAAACTTACAATTGTATTCATCACAACAGAAGACGGTGCAACCAGCCTCGGCAACATAATTTCATGGAACGGAACAATAGATTTATCATGTCTATCATCTACCTCTTCTGAAGCTTCATGAAATGGAACAATAGAATTTTTATCTCCATCATATTCTTCATCTGAATCAATGCGAATCACGGCAGGAATTGGTGCTGCCTGAAAATACTTCTCGGTGTTTTCCCCCTCAAAATCTACGACATTAGAATGTGTCAAACAAGTGCCTCGATCATCTTCTAACATAAGAGTGTCTTCATCGTGGTCATTTACCACATTCATCAATTGATTGACAAGTCCGGGGTACTTTGCGAAGTAAGGTCCAAGTATCTGCATTTTTCGGGCTACAAGGGCCTCTATGTCTTTTGTGACACTTCCAAATTTTTTATTCTCTATACGAACCACAACATCAGATATTGCAAATGGATTCGTGTGGTCAACAACATTTGATAACTTCTGTCTTTTGCCAGGACCAGGGGAAAATCCTAGTTTCACAAGATGAAACTATATTCAGAAGAACAGCAGTTATTCCATCAAGTGTTCTATATTGAATATTGGGCAAAACCACATGATGCACTAAGTACAGACATCCTGAGGAAGAAAGCATAACAAAAGCACATGGCAAAAGCAGATATTCTCAATGCTTATATACTTCAACTAGACTCAAGTATAATACTGAGTACACACCCCAACACAGTTTCAACTCCAGAGACCAACTAATCAAGTCAATACAAGAGAAAATCATAAAATAAAATATAGGAGAAAACTTAAATATAGTACCTTACATGTTATTCTTTCTGTTCTCATTAAATTGAAGTATCAGAAAGTATCTACTTAATGATTCACATAAATTTATACAAACCTTTAAGTTTTATTGCGCAGATTACACATTTAAAATTCTAATTCTGATTGAAAAAACATTACAAACACACACTTTTAGATAATACTTAAATGTTTGGACTCGACGACTTGTTTCTTAGCTGAATAAGTATTAAATCCTAAAATTAAAAAAAAAAAATCATTGACTATTACGAGTTGAAAAGTTGAAAGAGCTACAACTCGCCAAAAAAAGTAAGTGGCAATCAACATTTTATTATATCAAAGTATATATATATATATATATATATATATATATATATATATATATATATATATATATATATATATATATATATATATGTGAGAATTTAACATGATAATGAGGAATATACCAGTTGATCGAGAGCATTTAGGTGATAAGACATCAACATATGACTCCATAGGCAACTTTCAATGAAATGAAGAAACTGAAAATTAAAGAAAACAAATGAAATTATCACAAATTGAAGAAAATGATAAAAAACAAATATCCAATATATTTTAGATAAACAAGAGAGATGCGAGGGTTACCAACGTGAAGAAGTGGAGAGAAAAAATGACTTGAGAAATTCAGAGTGACAATTTATAGAGTAGTAATGCAGTGAGAGTGTATACGACGGTTGAGTTTCCACCAGTTGTAATGATTATCTGTGCGCAGTTGCAGTTTTCATGCAGTGTGTATGTGGATCAACGACCGGTGTGTGACGACAAGGTGATCAAGATATTTGAACCGTTAGATTCAGTTTGTACAATAAATTAAATTTTAAGTGTTAGTCAAAGTCCACTGTCAAATCAAGGTGCATGCATGAATGGTGAATAGACACACTTAATTTATGACACATAAATTAAAAACTTGTAATAACCTTTTTTTATTGTTATTTTAAAAATTTAACCAAGAAACTGATACATATAATAAATTTTATTTAAGTTACTAAAATAGTTATGATATTTTTATTTTTCTTCTATTCGTTTCAAAATCAAAATTAAATAAAAAGTAATGGAATAATTAATATCATCTTAATGTTAAATAAATCTGATTAAATAATTTTATTATATTTAAGACAGTGATCAAAATATTATTGTTGTTCCCTATATCTTTGTGCAATAAAGAAAATTATTAAATATTATTAAATATTATTAAGATAAAACTTTAAATTTGATTGGAGAGGTATGTATTTTTGACTTCTTATAAAAGTTTTTATTCTTTTCTTTTCTATATAATATTTTGATTGAAATTTATTTATTTATATAAAAATATAAAAAAATGTAATAAATGAAAATATTAGAGGAAAAGTTGCAACATGCTTTCAAGTGTTGTTTGTAATTACAGAAAATATAAATTTAAAGATGGTAATATATAGACAACTCCTCTTAAATAAATAATTATTATATTCAAATTATTAAACTAATGCTCATAATATTGAATTTAATATAGAGATATTATATTCAAATTATTTCTTTAATTTAATCCTCTATTTTTGTTGACTTTTATAATAATTATTTTCCAATCATTCAACAATAGTTTATAAGATAAATAAGTATATATATATATATATATATATATATATATATATATATATATATATATACATTTTAATGTGTTACTTCTCCAAGCGTATTTAGACTTTTATATATTATTATGTCGACATTTTGCCAAAATAAAACTTAAAATATGATTGATTAAAAAACATAACTTTCATATTTTTTTCTACCAATTTTAGATACTTTACACACGTTCACACATTAAAAAAGCCAAAAAAATTATAAATATTTAAAATTTAAATCATTGTTTGGAACAAAAAGGAAAAACAACCTAAGACCTGGTGTAATTAATGTTCCGTTACTTAAACTGGTAAAGCAATAAAAAAATTATAAATATTTAAAATTTAAATTATTGTTTTGGATAAAAAGGAAAAACAACATAAGATATGGTGTAATTAATGTTACATTGCTTGAACTGGTAGAGCAATACAAAAAGATAATACAAGTAACAAAATTCATATAGCAAAAAAAAAAAAAAAGAGGAGTGAACTATGATTGAAACCATTTCCTAAGCTGTTTTGAAGGTTTTTTCTCTTCACCATTCTCTTGGGAACCCTTTTGTGAGAACTTAGATCTATATTGTTCTATAAGTATGTCAAGCTTGTCTACTACGTCCTTCCCTACTGAATCTTTATTCTTCTTAGGCCGTTTCTTGGAAACCTTACTGCCTTCTTCTTGTTCTTGATTCTGCATCTTTCTTTTCCTAAATCCAGTATCATCATCTTTATTTCCTGATTTTCTTCTATTGGTGGCAGTGGCAGTGTTTTGATCTTCGACTGATACACCACCATTGTTCTGGCCATTCTGGTTATTCTTTGGCTTCATGAACAAGGCTTCTGGATTTTCTTTCAATCCTCTTTTACTCTTATTATTGCCTATCTGTCTTTTGGATTTGTGTCCTTGAAGGGATTTTCCATTTGCCAGTGGACCACGACCACCTGATTCACCCATTGTATTCAGTACTGATTCTTTAGCCGGTTCACCCTGCTCTCTTGACTTCCGTTTTCTGTCCTGCTTCCGAACTCCTACAGTGGCAGGTTTGTCATTTTCCATGGCATTGTTGTCTTCTTGAGGAGCCTGCTGTTGCTGAAATTGTAGCTTTGCCTTCCGAAGTTTAAGTGTTTGAACATTATCAAGAGCAAACTCCACAATCGGTCGATGTTCAGGACCAAATGTTTCTGTAGTCAATGAAAGCAAAATCTAAATTTAACAGAAAAAAATACAAAATAGTCTGATGCCCAGAGATGAGAAATGGTTGTCACCAGGATTATTGTTAAGAACTCTCAGAGCCACAAGGGCATGCTGATGCTCTGAAAATTCAACAAAGGCAACTCCCCGTGAATAGCGTTCTTGAGCAACCTTCCCGTTCTTTTCATTTTTCAAAAACTTTATCTGCAGATTATACGTGTATTTTTAAAATATAAAATGACACCCTTAAAGTTTTAGAGAAACAATAATTGACAACTTAAAGTCATGATCTACTTAACCAACCTGTCGAATTACAGGTTTTTGCTTGGTAGCTCTAGAGATGACCGCATCAATGCAAAGCTTCTTGAGTTGTTTCTCATTCATTGACTTGGGTAAGTTGTAGATAACGAGTCTAGTTCTAGAGACATGAAAATTTGGAGATTGAAGCTTTGTCTTCTTTTTCCTCTCCAACCTATGAAATTTCCATAAATAATGTTGAGCACTAACACCAGCCGAAGAAATTACACTTGAGCAAGATAGAATTTTAACCACAACATTTGCAAGGCCAAATGCAACATAACATAGGGCACTAATTATAGTACCAGTAATGATATTTGAAAAAGGACAGTAAATCTACGACTCATATTTTGTTCGTCTGTGATCTACACACAATATGGATTGTGCCAAGAATTATGATTTGTGTGCTAGAAATTATATCTAAGCTTTTCTAGAGACTTTTTTTTCCAGCCCTCTTGTGATTTTTTCTCAACAAAAATTACCAAGTATGAAAAGAAAATGGAAAACAAGGAGAATAATACAATACAAATGTTTTTCTATCCTAAAGTTCATAGGGTAAAACAGAACATATTAGCAAAGGATTGAGAGAATTAAAAAGAAAACCATAATTGTCCACAGCTTAACATGACCAATTGGTCAGTTCCTCAAAGGAGCATACAGTGGTCTTCAACAATATGACAGTTGGGGATTAAAAAAGTCGGTGCAGCCCATAATAATTATAACCAACATGGGAGATGTGAGTTAAAATAATAATACTCACTCTTGGCGTTTTGACATATCACTGTCTGAAACCCCTTCAGCAGCTGTAGTTCCCTCTAGAATAAGTCCCTCCTGTTACAATTTAGTAGAATACAAATATTATTCCTATATATATATATATCAGCTTCAACAGCCTGCTCCACGAGAGTTACAAAGGAGAAGACAAACCTTTGCCAAATAAAGATTCCGGTGGTCATGAACCTCATTTTTTGCTTTCTCCAGTTCCTTGTCATGTGCTGATTTCTTATCCAAAGCCTTTAAAACTTTCAATAGTCTACCTTTCAGTAAAATACCTGTCCCAGAAGCCGCAATAGCAGTTGAAATTGCAGTCTTAGCTGCTTCTACAGTTTTAAACTTAAGAAAACCAGTCCCTCTTGGTCGCCTGCGTTGAATAAAAGGAGACTATGAATAATGCCCTATGAAATAGACACAGAAAAAAACAATGGGACATACTTGGTAACTTGGTGGAGAACAGGAGCGAAGTATTCTACTTCCCCAAACGCAGAAAATCGTTGTTTTACTTCTTCGTTATCACATTCAAAGGGAAGATTACTTATAAAAACTGTTCTCTGCAAATCTTCTTCTTCCGTTCCCTTAGGATTTGATAAGTTGTTTCCGCTGGAAATTTCAGGCTTAGAAATACTTAAAACCTTTTCAGAGTCATCAGATACTTTTTCCTCTGCATCCTTAACAATTTTATCAGATCTTAACTCTATGTTTTCTTTGGAAAACATAGAATCATTGTTTTCAGATGTTCCTTTGCTTGAGGATGCAAGCAAGTTGTTAAGAACCTTTCTTGCAATGTCTGCTTCCTTATCAAAATTATCTTCAGGCGGAGCTCCCTCTTCCTCCATGGCACTAGAGTAGCTTGTATCATTATCATCTCCTTGAACAGATTTTTTATCAACAAGCTCAACATCTTCCTCGTCACTATCTTCATCACTCATGTTTTGTTGTCCTAAAAAAATTGCAAAGGATGTCTAATTTATATGTTCACGCTCAAAATAAGGCTTTTTGGCAGACTAAAATAAATAGGACAAAGATAAAGAGAGAAACTAATGTAAAGCTCCGATAGAGTATTAAAATACTAGAACAATGACCCTATACTTCAAATGTTATATGTTAGTAGTTCATGAAGAAACAAGCTCAAACATTTCTAGAGGAATACATTATCTTTAACGGTGCACCAAACTAAAGCATTAAATGGGACATACACAATCTACTAGGGAAATCACAGGGTACAAAATGAAGCAATGAACTTTGACCTCAACATAGACAGTTAAATAGAAATCTATTGGACAATATCACCATCCTATGATTTCCAACAAATTATATAACTATAATTAAGTTTGTAACAACTCAGCAGCATGGCTCCAATTGATTAGCCACTGAATAATTTATTTAAGTTTTGAACAACATAGAAATTATAAGAATTTTATACGAAACATATATTCAGTTAACTGTAGTAAAGAGTCACACACATAACAGATGCTGGCTTTTTACTCCTAAAATCTATCAAACAACTGACTAGCACAATGGCAACAATGACGTTAAAATCCAAACATGAGAACGGTGATAGACTAATCCCAAATTCTAATTCAACAGTAGAAGAACACTTCCAAGCCCTATATTTTAGCATAGTCTACTCAATTAAAATATAGATATGTAACATAGTTCGGGAGAAGTTTTCCAAATAATAATACTTAACCTCATAAATAGTACCACTAAATAATTGGTAATAAAGGAGAGCACTTCAAATTAGTATATATTTCAGCATTGAATAGCAAAAGGGCACTTCATTCACTTCAACTGATTAAGGAATCCATGATGTGAACATGACCTATGATAAGGGTTAGAACAAGGGAAGCAAATGAAGTTCTTCAACAAGTATTGTTGGTTGACCAAATTGTGTTTTGGATTAATCAATTAATGGGCTTTAGTTTGGTTTTATTGCAAGTTGTAATAAGGGCCCAATTGGAAATTTAGTTATCAATCTTTGGGAGACCAAGAGAGTGTATAGTTGATTGACTTTTGGATGTCACAATTTTAGTTACAATCAATCATTAAGTAGTTTTCAATTCGTAGGTTAATAAATCATTATTAGTATTTATTTTCTTTTAGTGAATCTTTGTAACTCTGATGGCAAAACTTCTTTATAAGTTGAACCATTTTTATCAAAAATAACAAGTTGAGTTTTATTTTTAGAAATATTAGAGTTTATCTCTTTTATCTTAGTGAGAGTGATTCTCCTAGATTCTTAAGTGATTCAAGAACCCTTGGTTGTATCAAAGGACTTTCACATCCTTTGTGTGTTGCCTTCCTTGGAAAGAGTGATTATTTCCTTTCACCTTATCACTAAATTCTTAAATTTCCTACAAGGTTCTAACCTTAAAAATCCTAAATCACCCCTTGTGATTCATTTCAGTTGGTATCAGAACCAGGTTTAAAGGTTTGAACATCAAATTGATGGAAGAGGAGGATAAAAAGAAAAGGAAAGAAAAATTTCTTCAAGAAAAGAGAGAAAAAAAAAGCATTAGTGAAACACTTGAGAAGAAAAAGAGTGATAAAAAGAAGAGTGAAACACTTGAAGTGAGAGAAAGTTATTTAGCCATAAAAAGTGAGTATAATATTTGTTTTACATTTAATTTATTAGACTTATCTCTTTTTTATGTAGATGACGAATCTGATTTGAGGACAAATCTTTTTCAAGAGGGAGAGCATGATGTGAACATGACCTATGATAAGGGCTAGAACAAAGGAAGCAAATGATGTTCTTCAACAAATATTGTTGGTTGACCAAATTGTGTTTTGGATTAATCAATTAATGGGCTTTAGTTTGGTTTTATTGCAAGTTGTAATAAGGACCCAATTGGAAATTTAGTTATTAGTCTTTGGGAGACCAAGAGAGTGTATAGCTGATTGACTTTTGAATGCTACAATTTCAGTTACAATCAATCATTAAATAGTTTTCAATTCGTAGGTTAATAAATCATTATTAGTATTTATTTTCTTTTAGTGAATATTTGTAACTCTGATGCCAAAGCTTCTTTATAAGCTGAACCATTTTTATCATAAAAAACAAGTTGAATTTTATTTTTAGAAATATTAGAGTTTATCTCTTTTATCTTAGTGAAAGTGATTCTCCTAAATTCTTAAGTGATTCAAGAACCCTTGGTTGTATCAAAGGACTTTCACATCCTTTGTGTGTTGCCTTCCTTGGAAAGAGTGATTCTTTCCTTCTACCTTATCACTAAATTCCTAAATTTCCTACAAGGTTCTAACCTTAAAGAACCTAAATCACCCCTTGTGATTCATATCAGTTGGTATCAGAACCAGGTTTAAAGGTTTGAACATCAAATTGATGGCAGAGGAGGATAAAAAGAAAATGAGAGAAAAATTTCTTCAAGAAAAGAGAAAAAAAGAAAAAAAAAAAAAAAAAAGCGTTAGTGAAACACTTGAGAAGAAAAAGAGTGATAAAAAGAAGAGTGAAACACTTGAAGTGAGAGAGAGTTATTTAGCCATAAAAAGTGAGTATAATGTTTGTTCTACATTTAATTTATCAGACTTATCTCTTTTTTATATAGATGACGAATCTGATTTGAGGACAAATCTTTTTCAAGAGGGAGAAAATGATGTGAACATGACCTATGATAAGGGCTAGAACAAGGGAAGCAAATGAAGTTCTTCAACAAGTATTGTTGGTTGACCATATTGTGTTTTGGATTAATCAATTAATGGGCTTTAGTTTGGTTTTATTGCAAGTTGTAATAAGGGCCCAATTGGAAATTTAGTTATCGGTCTTTGGGAGACTAAGAGAGTGTATAGTTGATTGACTTTTGAATGCCACAATTTCAGTTACAATCACTCATTAAGTAGTTTTCAATTCGTAGGTTAATAAATCATTATTAGTATTTATTTTCTTTTAGTGAATTTTTGTAACTCTGATGGCAAAACTTCTTTATAAGCTGAACTATTTTTATCATAAATAACAAGTTGAGTTTTATTTTTAGAAATATTAGAGTTTATCTCTTTTATCTTAGTGAGAGTGATTCTCCTAAATTCTTGAGTGATTCAAGAACCCTTGGCGGTATCAAAGGACTTTCACATCCTTTGTGTGTTGTCTTCCTTGGAAAGAGTGATTCTTTCCTTCCACCTTATCACTAAATTCCTAAATTTCCTACAAGGTTCTAACCTTAAAGATCTTAAATCACCCCTTGTGATTCATATCAATCCACCTCAAGTATCAAGCAACAACATGAAACCTAATAAATTTAGTAATTAAGATGAATAAGATCTAGACAAAATATCAAAATTGAATAACTTCATTCAAATCAAATATAGACAATTAGAGTGGCTGATGGGAGGTACCATTTTTACTGAAGATAGAAATTACCTTTCTCTGGTGCATGAGTATCATGCATTTCACCACTAAATATCTTTTTTGGAACAGCCCAGTCAACAGCTATGACTCTTTTTGCAAACTTTGATCCATTCAGCTTTTGAATGGCCTGAAAAAGAAACAGGAAGCTTATACGCAGGTTATTTCAGAACGCAAAGAGTGGGTAAATAAAGTAAAACCTTGGTAACAGTTCATACATTTTCGGCATCTTGCTTGCAGGTAAATTTTACGAATGCAAAGCCCTTAGACAGGCTGCACACAGGAGAAGAGAAAAGAAATTAGTTTAAGAAACCATTATGTATGATAGTACATTGAACTCCTGAAGTCAAAGAAAAAAAAAAGAACTTACCCTGTGTCTGACTTTTGTGGAATAAAGACATCCCACACATATCCTGCAGATGAAAACATATCTCTTATTTCATTATCTTTCGCCTGCATCCATGTTTAGTCAACTAATCAGAAGTCAATGCATCCCAACATTATTTCATATCTTTTAATTCAATGCATCAAACCTTGAAGGGAAGGTTCCTGACAATAAGCTTCCATTTCTGAGTCTTGGAGCCCTGACCCACATACAGAGCAAAATTGTTAAGAAACAAATATCTCATTCAAGATCATACAAAGTAAACAGGGAAGTTACTTCACCTACAAAATTAAAAATCATAGAATAAAACACCCAATAAAGCATAAAAACTATGAAGTTTATCTTCCACCACCTAATAGCTTATTAGATGAATCTACAGTACAGTCTACAGTTACTAAATGCATTCCAAACAGGCTAAAAACTGTCTTCCAAGTCAACTTTCGAATGGTGGGCAGGGTACATACATTTACAAAACTCATACTTCTTCAATGAGCATAATGTCACATATATCAAGCCTTTAGAAGTAGCACACATCACAAAAATGGAGACAACAAACAAGAAAATACTTTTCTACACAAAATAGGAAACAGAGACTAAAACCAAACCCAAATGAAAATCCTTCCAAGCCTTTAGAAGCAGCACACATCACAAATTCTCATTGCATAACTTCCTTTATATTAAGATCATGAATGCCATATTATTGTGATTAATGGGAGAAAAAAACTTACAATACAACTATTAATGAGCAATAGCTTTTTTCATAAAAATAAACAAGGAAAATGGGTTTTTGACCTACTCAGTTTCCAGAAAATGAATAACATATTCAATATAATTATTACCATGGAATGCAAATTAAAACATAAGGCAAAAGGTCAGATTTTATGAATACAAATCAAAATGATACAGCTTCTCTCAGCTGAAAGTTAATCATATACAAATTATGCTTTGCTTATGTTGAGATAATATACTAATTCTGTTGAGTTCTTTGACAAGCACATTACCTCTCCACCCAGTTGGCGGGCCCAAACTGTTTCCCCTCTTATCTCTTTTTTATGCAACATTGCAACAGAAGCTCGAGCTGATTTTACACTTGTATAAATTACAGACGAAGCATCCATGGGACAGCCATCTTGCATGAGACCTGGAAAATTTCCATAATGATCTACAATCCCAAGCAATATAAAGAACCTATGCATAAATAATACATTTAATCTTGTTGAACACTCTAGCTGGAAAGCAACCTCTTAGACAATTTCAGTGGAAACATCCATCTCAGAACTCGATGTGATTAATGGGATAAAATACAACTAACATTTGTTTACAATATGAAAAGATTTAGCATTAAAATAATAATATTGACTATTAACCAAGCACTAAAAACAGTACAAGACGAGCAAATCTAATTAAAAGCAGCTTCACAGGCAAACCACAAAAAGACTTTCCGCCAATTATAAACCTACGGTAAAATGACCCAAAAGAATATGAATACAACGTATTTTATTCAATAAAAATAAAATAAAATGTAGACCTTTGTATGTAACTTTTTTAATATAACTGACATATCACGGTATTAGATAAACAAAATAGCCTATTTCATCTGCATTATATATTATTAGCTGAAAATATCAAAATCCATAGTTACCATGTTGCTCGAGATCTTTCCTTGAAAGAGGGTACTTAACAGAACACACAGTGCCAATCTCTCTTGCTTGGCTGTGAACTTCTTCAGCCATATCAGAATTAATGAGACCACCCAATATAACAGTTCTGGCAACCCTGACAAAATAAAAAATAAAATAAGAAACAGCATTTCAGGAACAAGACATTAATTCAAACATAAGAAACATCCGTAAGTTGGAATCAGGTCATCTCATTAGTCATTTCCACTTGATCACAGTCATGTTCAAATCAGCTTCCAGGATTTAACTTTTATTTCTCTAGTAACAAACTTATTTTAAAAGGTTGGATTAAATGCAATTGAAGAAAAGGACAGATGAGTAAAAACCTCTGCTTTTCTGAGCAACCACCCTCATCTACTACATCATTACAAAGAGCTGATTTTTTCACTTCTATGGGCTTCCTTGAGTCTTTCTGTTTAATTGTGACTTGTACTTCTAGAAAAGAAGAAAAAGAATATATAAAAAAGGGAAAAATTATAAATGAGCAACTTATAAAATAATTGTTTAAACAAATTCACAACCTTCTTCCTTCAAAACTGAAACATGTTTCTTTGCTTCAGATAATTTGCTATCTTTTACATCATCATCTTTTGGCTTTCTGTGATCATCTGCTGTGTCCACTATCACATTACAAAATAAAGAGGGAGAAGAAATAACAAAGGAATCAAAGTATTGAAAAGGTTAAAATCATGTCCACATCTTTCAAACAGCATGGAACATGAAAATATCACAGGATGCTGAACCATAATTATAGAGTTAGCATCAACCTTTATTTGGTTTTGACTGTCGTTCCTCACGGCGAGGACGAGGCATTGCATGCTTCACTACAATTTTACGACCTTCAACAGATGTACCGTTCTTTAGATCAATAGCACGGTTGGCATCTTCCTCAACAGCACTGAAGATGACAACAATTAATTCCAAACTAGACAAGTTGGGTCACTGATTCTAGAGAGAAGAACCATACATCTTACATAAAATCAGAGACAGCCAACAAAATATGATTATGGATTAATTTACCACTGACCACAACAACAGTTATACACTACAGTCACCATCAAAAGAAGACAGATTTCATATTATTGAAGCACTCTGCAACTTGAATATCTAGAATAAAGTTTGTCCATTGATATCTTCTTAGTGGCTCGTAAATCATGTGGTTAATGTTTTACCGGCAACTTTATGGCAATATCATGGAGGTTTACTGAGATAGAATAACTGAACTGCATATTGCAATCCTAACTACGTTTAAGGATATTTAAACATCGATAAAACCAGAATGCATTTTCAAAGAAGGGGAAACTTTTACTTGATTACTAAGTATTCACATTTATCTGTATCTTCAGTTGAATGAATCTTTAGCCAAAGCATAAGCAAGAAACCATATCAAATGAACTGGTGAGAACACAATAACATAAGCTAAAGCCAGAAGTCCAATATCTTGTAATGCCATAGAGGGCTTATTGTTTGGACAAATTTCTCCATAAATACTTCTAGGGGAGAAATAAGAAAAAATAAAAATAAGTTTCTTCAAAAGTAAAAATTAGTTTACATAAAAACTAGTTCGTAGAAGATTTTTCGTATAACTTCTCTAAACTTTTATTTTTTTAAATTTCCATAACTTAATTTTAATTTATGGAGAAAGTTTGATTTTTTTTTTTTTTCTTATTTTTCCATCCTTGAAGTTCTTATGAAAAAGCTTGGCCATAACAAGCTCATAGGACGCTGACAACTGGCAGTGGTAAGACAACCAAACACAATGATGACAACAAATTAAACTTTTGGAAGTTAAAAATACACTCACAATTGTACATATCCGAAACCACGATGCTGAGCTGACCCTGTGGATCATTAAGCAAAGAAATAAAAAATGTTAAAATCTATCATATACCTCACTTATGCCGTCAGTCTCCACATACATAATTTTCTTATATCGGTTAAAATGAACACATATCATGGACTTTACACAATTCAAGTACCCTCTTCAACCATCTGAGCTAAACTCTTGATAAATAATATATATATCGTCTATACATCAGTTACTATACCCTTACCTTTCTGTGTGACCATGAAGCAGCGCCTCACAGGTCCAACCTGACTGAACGTCTCCTCCAACTGATTTTATAATTTTTGCAAAAAAAAATTAAAAATATATTTAGAATAAAACACACACACACATTTAAGCAATTAACAAACAAACGAATGAAAGGAGAAGAACAGCGAAATAACGAATACCTGAGGATTGGAGAAGGAATAGGGCAAGTTGGACACAAAAAGTGTCGAGGAGCAATGCTCTTTGACTCCACTCTCCTTCACTTTGTTCTTCTTTCCCATCTTTCCTCACGCCCTCTTCTTCTCTTCTCAACCAAAAATTATTGTATCTGTAAAGGAAGAATTTTGATTCTGCATTATACACCGACTACTCGCTCATTCGAAAACCCAAATGTAAAACTAATAAAAAAATTAGGTTTCGGCCACCTGAGGCAGAGAGAACAGTGCACAGTTGAGCTGGGTATGTGTCAAGGGTTGCAATTTGCGGTGTAGCTCTAGAACAAGCAAACCAGGGTTTTGTGAAAAAAGAAAACCCCTACTTCTGTCAAAAAAGAAAAAGAACAATCATTGTTTTATTTGTTAAACATATTCCTTTAGAAATAAGATTCAATTTTTATTATTCTGACTTAATATTTTTTATGAATAATTTTTTATCAATATTATATATATCTTTATTAAGTTTGTGTTGATTCACATTGTGACAATTTTTTTTATTGTTTTAAAAATTAGATTGATAGAATAAAAATTGAATTAAAAATTAATATATTATTTTAAATAATTAAATTTTAATTAAATTATAATAAAATGGAACAAAATTTATAAAAGTTTTTTCATTGAATGTTGGGGTCAACCGTGTTAATAAAAATAAATAAATTAGGATAAATTTTTTAATATAATCTTTTATAAAAAATATAATATATTTTAAAAATATATTACATTATATTAATTACGATAATTTTAAATTTAAATGATAATTATTTTATTATATTTTTATTTTATTTAATAATTATCCATTTTTTTCCTTAATTTTTATTATAAGTTAACATAATTATATATTTTTTTAAATATTATTATTAATAAAATTATTATATTATAAAAATACTAAAGTACCACCTTGTCTTCAATTTTAATAGTCGATATGATTTTTCAAATATTATTTAAAAAATTATATATATATATATATATATATATATATATATATATTACTTCAAATAATATATAAAAATAAATAAACGAGGACAATATTATATTTTGAAGTAAATGTATATTTTTAGCTTCATGTATAAGTTTTACTTCAAATCCATAAACTAAAACCAGCGTGACGTTAGGGTTTTACTTTCAACTTTTTTTCATAGATAGTATTATTTTAAAAAATATTTTTTAAAATAGTACATCCTGAATATTATTTATCCAACTACCATTATTTATTATTTATGCTACTCTCGCTCAAACGAGAAATGCATCGCTTGAGCGAGGAGACCTAGAACCTAAGAGTTTTGTGGGGTTTAAGTTCGCTCAAGCAATAAAATTCTCGCTCAAGCGAAAAATTCATCACTTGAACAAGGAGACATGAAACTAATACATAATTTCAGGTGTTTTTTTGCTCAAGCGAGGGGTAATTTCGCTCGAGCAAGAACTGATTGAAATATGTGGTGACCCAAGTTGTATTATGTAGCTAACTGCGTTGAACCTTTAGCCTGTGGTTAATTCTTACTCAAGCGATGAGTAATTTCGCTCGAGCGAGAAGTGATTGGCTAACTGTGTTGGACCTTTCGTCTGTGGTCAATTCTCGCTCAAACGAGAAATCCATCGTTTGAGCGAGGAAATTTATAATCGATTATAATTTAAACTAATCGATCATAATTTTAAAATAATCGAATATTTAAAATTATGATCGATTATTTCTCTCTCACTCAAGCGAGAAATTCATTGCTTAAGCGAGGAAACCTGAAACTAATGGGTAATCTCGGGTGTTTTTTTGCTCAAGCGATGGGTAATTTCGCTTGAGTGAGAACTGATTGAAATATGTGGTGACCCAAGTTGCATTATGTGGCTAACTGCGTTGGACTTTTAGCATGTGGTCAATTCTCGCTCAAGCGATGGGTAATTTCGCTCAAGCGAGAACTGGTTGAAATATATGGTTACCCAAGTTGTATTATGTGTCTAACTGCGTTGAAGTTTTAACTTGTGGTTAACTTTCGCTCAAGTGAGAATTCCATCGCTTGAGTAAGGAAACCTGCAACTATTTATAATTGATTATAAGTTAAACTAATTGATTATAATTTTAAAATAATCAATTATTTTAAATTATGATCGATTTTTTTCGACTTTTTTACATAATTAATAATTTTTAAAAAAATTCCCAAAATAGCACCTCCCAATATAATTTCTAACGCACACAAGTCATAAATTCAATGCTAAGTCACCCACCCAAGTTAGGATTCTCATGTCCTTCTAATGCACACAAGTCAGGAATCCAATGCTGAATCACCCACCCAAGTCAGGATTCCAATCTTGGATTCCCTGCATTAGGTTAGAAAAAAGTAGAAGCTATGTGAGGGAGCCTTGGATTAGACAAAAGCAGAATCACATTTAAAGAGATGTTGACCCACCCACTTTGCTTGGGTTTTATGTGCATCAGAAGTCATGTGAAGGTGCCTTGGATTCAAACCATTATACTTCATTATAAATAGACCACTTTCATTCTTTGAAGTTCTCACATTGCACACTCCTAAATCTCTGAAGCTTTTTGCATTCTTTCTTCTTCTTACCTTTAGTCTTCTTTTTTATCCACACTCCTAAAATGGATGTAGTGTCTACTATTGTCCACTATGATGGTTTCATGAACCCATGTCCCATGGAGGGAGTTACCTTCAATACTGAGACTACAAAACTTGTTCCTTTAAAGAGAGAAATTTCTCTACAAAGGTTGAAGAAGTTGATCCACAGGAAATTAGAGAAAGAACCCCATGAAAATGTAGCAACCATCCATTTTTGCTGTCCAACTAGACTCGGACTTGGGATCAACAACTTCATTGTTGTTGAGTTGAAAGATGATGACGACGTGGAGGTCATGTTCAATGTTCATGATTCAAACTCAAGTCTATGTAATATTGAAATTTTTGTTACATTTAAAACTTCTTCTTCTTCATACCCCAACACACACTCACCTGAAATCTCACCCTCATCCTACCAAGTTTTCCCAAACACTGACCCAAAAATACCCACACATAATGACTACATCTTTTTTACCCAACTTCTAAGTGGGTCTTCCACCAACATCAACGGAGAAATACCCACACAAGAGAACGAAATTGTTGGCCTCCCAATTGAAGTCATTGATCCTTTTAGTGAGGACGAAAACGAAGATGAAATTCTCAGCCAACACCAGGATGATTCAAAGGATGAACAACCACATATCCCTACACATGCACCAAACTTCATGGAATCATACAACCCACCACAACATTTTCTTAACTTTGAAAGTCACATTCAACAACAAGACCTAGAGTATGGCCATGCGTTGGGCAGAGAGTCTTTTATTTCTCCGGCAGGAACTCTATTTCTTGGACAATGTTTCATAACAAAAGAACAAGTTCAAGATGCCATCAACCGCTTTCACATTGTCAATCACTGCACATACAAGGTGAAAATTTTAAACCAAAGTAGATATGTTGTTGAATGTGTTAATAACCAAAGCAATTGGAGATGTCGAGCAATATTGCGCACAAGAGAGCAATATTGGGAGATTATGAAGCTTGAAGGGCACCATACATGTGTTTCACCATTAATCAGTCAAAACCACAACAAGTTGGGATATAAAATGATTTCCCAAACAATTGGTCAAATAATTGATGTTGATTCGTCAACACCAATCTCCACAATCATAACCCACATCCAATTAATAACGGACTACACTATAACGTACAGGAAGGTCTGGCTGGCAAAACAAAAGGCAGTGGAGACCATCTACGACAATTGGGAGGATTCGTATAAGAAGTTGCCTTGTTTGTTACAAGTCATGCAACAATTTGTTCCCGGATTCATCTACAAATTGTAGTCATAACCAGCTTACCAAGGTGAGGTCCTTCAACAAAATTCAAATATTTTTAAGCGTGTGTTTTGGACGTTTAGGTCATGCATAGATGGATTTGTTCACTGCAAGCCCATTGTTCAAGTGGATGGAACTTTTTTATACGAAAAATATAGAGGTACCTTATTGGTTGCAATAGCACAAGATGGACGCAACAACATCCTCCTCACTGCGTTTGTGGTGGTTGAAGGTGAAACAAGTGATGCCTGTGTTTTTTTTCATAAAAAACCTCCAAAGATATGTCATACCCCAGCAAGGATTATGTCTCATATCAGACCGACATGAATTCATTAAAAGTGCATACATGAGAAATGGAAGCGGATGGACAAAAAATAATTCAGTGCATGTTTACTGCATTAGACATATTGCACATAATTTTATGAGACGTTTCAAAAATACCGCACTAAGGAAAAATATTGTAAATATGGGTAATTCATTTGCTTCAAATTTGTTACAATTTATTCATTATTTAACTATTGCTAATAAATATTTATATTAACTATGTTTTTTAAATATTGTTGTAGCATATGGGATGACTGAACCACGATTCTACTTTTATTACAACATCTTGAGGCAATGTGACATACAAGCAGCTAATTGGTTGGATGAGATACCTAGAGAAAAAAGGGCACTTGCAAGGGACAATGGATGGCGTTGGGGTCACATGATGACCAACATAGCAGAGTCTATCAACTCTGTTTTAAAAAAAACAAGAAATATACCTATTTTCTCCATGGTCAACGCAACGTACACCCGCTGCAACAAATTTTTCATTAAAAGAGGGAGGCAGATAGATGTCATGATCAATGCTGATCATGTATACTCTGAAATTTTGGTCACAGATTTAGAGGAAGCACAAACACAGGCAAACACGCATAGGGTCATAACTTTTGACAGATCTACCAAAAAATTTGTAGTAGAAGAAACACAAAACTCGCGTGAAGTTCGACCAGTAGGGAAGTTTGCAGTTCGTCTTGATGAGTTATGGTGTGACTGTGGGAAATTCCAAAAATTTCACATGTCTTGTTCACATGTTCTTACTGCATGCAAGCATGCACACCATGACTTCAACAATTACATTCATCCAGTGTATACCTTACAACAAGTTTCAAAGGTATACGAAACACAATTTGGGTTGTTGCGAAATGAAGAATATTGACCAACATACACAAGACCTACTTTGTATGCA